TTAAAAAGGAAGGAAAGAAAAGTTATTTATATCTATTGTTTTATGACTGAACTAGTGAACGAAAAGGTAAATATGATAGAAGGTGAATGGGGAAAATTGTGCAGTAAAGTTAAAAGTGTTGAGGAAGAATACCTAAAAAATTACCTTGTCATCGACCTGATGACGGAAGCTCAAGCGAAGATGAAAGTGATGATGAAGTAGCATCCAGTAACACTAACACACCATCGACATCTAGCTTCCATGTGACCCAAGACGACATAATGGACGGAGTGTCACCCTTAGCTTAAGTTTTCTTGTTACAAACTACTTTATATTTTACGATAGAAATAACAAATAATGCTCAAGTAAACATTATCCATTTTTAATTCCAACCTCTTCCAAAGTTCTAAGTAGCTAGTAAAACACCTATTATGATTCTACAATAAAACAATTAATTACTAATAAAACAATAGCCTTACTTAGCCGTAGTACTTTAGAACGCGACTGTACCCATGCGCAGACACTCCCTCCACTGCATGGCATTGGCAACGCTGCCAAGTTGCACTGAAATTTAGTTTGCCGGCGACATAAGAATTAGAGGCGGCAATCACTATAAAACTTGCAAGTCATTTTTAATAATTTACGTACCTCTTTTTAAATTCAAAGTATTGGCCGGATTAAATACGGAAAGTCAATTAAAATAAAGTAAAAGTATTATTTTTTTACATTAATTCTGACAGATTAATCAACTGTCGATCATAATTGCAATTGATTTTAACTATTAATTTATTCAGTACCATTTCATTTCTATTTTCTTATACTGACTGACTGAGTACCCAATTAAGTACGTTTATTCATTTCAATAATTTTGTAGTAATGAACTGCTTGTTGCGTCAGAGTACAATTGATTGTGTAATTGTATTAAAAATGACAACCATAACTTTTAAATTCCATATGAAGACTAGTCGTAGGGATAAATAAAACAAACGTTGGCGATGTCTTAACATACATAACGCTTTAACGCTGTGAAAAGATCCAGTGCTTCAAGGACGCATTTGTTTTGGCGGAATAGATTAATAATTTTAGTTTTTGAGACAGTTCCGTGTTGACTATTACAACAGACATTACAATTGTTTTGTTTATTAAATTATTCTTGTTATTTATAACTTAATGATATTATTCTTGTTGTTACGGTTTAAGTTTCTTGTTTTGTTTTTATAATGCCTAACGCGTAGGTTTATAGTGCTCATGTATACGGCAACATGTTAATGTGCCTTGAAGTAGCTCACGGGAAAGCTTCGCGTGCATTACGAATTTACCGAGAGGAATTCCCGATCGCTCGACATCCAGCTGACTCTCGTCTGATAACAGCAGCATTTCAGCGAGTGTTGGAAATCGGCCCATTGCTCTGGTAGCGGCAGGAGGTGAAAGTCAAGTGGCTGTTCACTCAGAGGAGCGCATTTTAGATGTCGTTCGCCGGAATACGAACCTAGGTACACGAAGTATCGCTAAATTGTTAAGGCGTCGGGATGGAACAAGTGTGTCATACTGTACAGTTCATAAAGTGTTAAAGCGTAACCGAATGCGGCAATATAAAGTGTACAAAGTGCAAGCGTTAGTTACCGGCGATCACGACCACCGGCGAGTTTTCTGCCGTTGGTTATTAGACCAACAACAACGTGTGCCTGGTTTCATTGAGCACGTCATCTGGACGGACGATTACATTTACTAGAAACGGCCTGTGGAACCGAAGAAATACACACGTGTATTCCGAGGTTAACCCGCACGCTGTTCGACAAACCGGGCACCAAACCCGATGGTCGGTTAACGTATGGGCAGGTTTATTTAAGAATCGCATACTAGGACCAGTGTTTCTGCCACAGCGACTTAACGGACAGCGATACCTGAACTTCATAAATGCACAGTTGGTTGACATTTTAGACGACCTATCGTTGGGTTGACATTTTAGACGACCTATCGTTGGCTGAATATCGCCGCACATGGTTCCAGCATGATGGTGCCCCTCCACATGTCGTGAGGTTCGCCCGTGAGCGCCTCAATGAGCTATTTGATGATCGCTGGATCGGCAGAATAGGACCACACGCTTGGCCACCTCGCTCACCAGATCTGACCCCGTTAGACTTTTTTCTGTGGGGGTATGTGAAAGAAAGAGTTTTTAATCGTGAGTGTGATAGTGGTGACGAAATGCGCCAAAGGATCGTGGATGTTTTCAGAAACAAACAAACTACGTACGGACTGTGTCGAAGACCACACGATGATGCCCCACCTGCATGAGGAGACGCAACACCGAGCCCAAATCTGCCTTGAAATGAATGGCGCACAATTTGACATCTCATAAGACCACGGAGGATTTAAAGCGGTAAGCTGTATCATAACTAATTTTTTTTTGAATAACCTAGTACTGAACTAATCTGAATAGGTACATAACTGAATAAATGAGAATAATAAACATACCGCATGATAGCGGAGAAGTTTTTGGCTAAAAACCAGAAAGTTTTTTGTGCTTTCATGGACTTGGAAAAGGCTTATGACAGAGTGGAAAGGAATGTGTTATGGCAAACACTGAACTCATTTGGGTTGAGGCCTGGCTTGATACAGGCATTAAGGTCTCTTTATAGGGACTCTAGTGCTTGTGTCAGGATCAACGGGGTCTACTCGGACTGGTTTGGCATTCATAAAGGTGTCAGACAGGGATGTGTGGCTTCCCCGTGGCTGTTTAACCTATTTATGGACAGTTGTTTGCAAACTTTGAAAGTTGAAGAATGTGGGTTGAGAATGGGTGAGTCAACCGTCAAATGCCTTGTGTACGCCGATGATCAAGTCATATTTGCATCGTCGGCGGCCGAGTTGCAAATGATGGTTACTTTAATGAATTGGTCATTGAAAGAAAGGGGGTATGAAAGTGAACGCAAGTAAGACGAAAGTGATGGTTTTTGAAAGAGAAGAAAGTAAAACTTTATGTGAAATAAGAATAGAAGGGGAGTTGATTGAGCAGATGGATGAGTTTGTATATTTGGGATGTTTATTTAGCAGGGATGGTAGATATGATAAGGATATAGAACGACGAGTGAACGCAGGAAATGGGCAGTGAATGGGGCTCTACACGCTATTATGAGGAGTCAGAATGTGTCAACTAAGGCACGTATGGCAATTCATAATGCTGTGTTAGTCCCTACTTTAATGTATGGTAGTGAAAGTTGGGTCTGGCAGAAGAAGCATGAGAGTAGAATAAATGCTGTAGAAATGCGTTCCTTAAGGAGTATGCTAGGGCTAAATCTGAATGACAGCGTGAGAAATAGTGTGATAAGAGAAAAGTGTGGCTTGCAAGATGACGTTGTGACAAGGATTAACCCTGTGTCACTAACCATTCGTCAAAATGACGACTCGTCCCTGCGCATTTAGTGTTTCGGTAAGATCCCGACCCCCGCTACCGCACCCGTTTCCTAATACCTTCCTAATTCGCATCGCTAGTGACCCGCGATCAGTCATTACGGACGCACGCTCATTAGATCGGGATATATCGTGTGATCGTCGTAAAATTTACGAAAGGTTAGTATCTACGTAACTTTTTTTTCAAAGTTGTGCATTTAGTCCAGTCAATTATTTTCATTAGAACAGATTATTTTTATGTTATAATAGGACGTAATAATTACTATATTTTATAAATCATTAATAGACTTCAATGTTGTTTGCAAATTTTTGATATTTTATTGTTTTTTTTTTTGGATTTGAAATGTATAGTTTTTGTTTTTTATACTTTCAGATGGATTTGAGGAGTCTAAATGAAAAAATTATACAATGGTTAGTTGATTCGGAAACGGAATCAATCCCAGATAATCAACCACAGTCTTCGGCATCCGAGGATGGTAATCATTTAGAGGCGGAAATTCATACCGAAACTGATGGAAGTGACGAGGATGCTGCAGATTTGTCGGACGACAAGTTCTTCGTTTCACGTCGCAGCGATAGTCGAAGGTTAGTCATAGATTCTGATGATGATACTTCACTGACATCATGCACGGATCAGATGGGTTCCGAACATGAGGTACCACCACAGCAGCAATCATTAATTCAACCAAGTCAGAATATCATGTATGGTAAAAATCTACACAAATGGTCTACAAAACCTCGAGACCCACGTACTCGCACGGCTGCTCGTAATGTACTGCATATTGTACCTGGTCCTACAGGTATGGCTAAAGAACTCTCACAGCCAAAAAATCTATTTTATCTCTTTGTAGAGGAAGAAATGATTGACGTTATTGTAAAATATACGAACGCCGAGATTGACATAAAAAACAATAAGTATAAAACATCTAAGTATACTACTACACAAACGTCAACCAATGAAATGAAGGCATTGCTGGGTCTGCTAATTCAATCTGCTGGTCTCAAAAGTAACCATTTGCCAACGCGAACTTTGTTTGATACCTTGAGAAGTGCAAAAACTTACAAAGCCTGCATGAGCGCAGAAAGGTTCGACTTTTTACTGAGATGTATGAGATTTGATGACAGAAATACTAGACAAGAGAGCAGGGTATCTGATAGACTGGCACCAATTAGAAATTTCTGGGAACAGTTTATAGAAAATTGCAGGAAATGGTACAAGCCAGGTTCTTGCATAACCGTGGACGAACAACTGGTTGGATTTAGAGGACGCTGTCCGTTTCGCATGTACATCCCTAATAAACCCAACAAATATGGCTTGAAGCTTGTTATGATGGCTGATTCTAGTACAAAATACATGTGCAATGCTATGCCTTATATGGGAAAAAATATGAACAGAGGTAACAAGCCATTAGCGAATTATTTTGTGAAGGAGCTGTCTAAACCGTACTATGGGTCGAAATGGAATATAACCACGGATAATTGGTTTACATCGGTTCCTCTGGCCGCTGAACTGTTGAAACCGCCATATAATGGTAGGTACTTTACGAAGCAATAAGCGAGACATCCCCAAAGAAATGAGGAATTTTAGAAATAGACGAGTCGGTACCTCGATGTTCGGTTTCGATAAAGAAATTACTTTGGTGTCTTATAAACCGAAGTCAAATAAGCTCGTTTACCTTATTTCTACTATACATGATCAACCTGCTATCAATATCGATTCAAAAAAGCCCGAAATTATTGAATTCTACAATTCCACAAAGGGTGCGGTTGATACTGTAGACCAGATGTGCTCGATCATGAGTACCAGCCGTAAGACCAATCGATGGCCGCTGTGCTTGTTCTACGACATCCTAAATTTGTCTATAGTGAATGCATATGTCATCTACGTCTCTAATGCGATTCGAAATGGAAAAAAACCTTTGAAAAGAAGGCCTTTTGCTTTAGAAATGGCAGACGAACTGATGAAGCCTTGGCTGCAAGAGAGATATCAGACTGTAAGTTTGCAACGAAATTTGAAGCACATCATCGCGGAGATCTTGAAAATTCATGATCCCCAGGAAGGTCCTAGTCAAGAGGTTCCTAGAACTCGCAAAACTTGCAGCTACTGCCCTGCAAAAAAACGTCGTATGACCACTAACTTCTGCAAGGGCTGCAAAAAAGCGATTTGCAGGGAGCATATTGTTTCTATGTGCAATCATTGTTCAGTGTAGTTTTTTTCTAAAACAGATTATGTTATTTGATTAAGAGTAAACTAAGACTGCTAATATACTTTGGTGTCATAAATAAAGTTGATTAAATAAATAATTATTGATGTTTTAATCCGTCGTAAAATTTACGAATGGTTAGTGACAATGTTACTTGAAATTAAGGTTAGTGAGCTAGGGTTAAGAAAGGAATGCTTCGGTGGTTTGGTCATGTAGAAATAATGAACGAGGAAAGAGTGACAAAGCAAATTTATGTGGCAGAAGTGAACGGCAGGGTCGGAAAGGGACGCCCTAGACGAAGGTTTATCGACCAAATCGGCGATACATTAAAAATGGGCCAGATTAGGAGTACCCTTAACCGACGAGAGTGTATGCGTAGATATATGGATGTAAAAGAGGCGAGAGAGGTGTGTCAGGATCGCGCCAAATGGAAGTCCGTAGTCTCTGCCTACCCCTCTGGGTGACAGGCGTGAGTGTTTATGTATGTTATGTATAAACATACCTACACAATGAATAAAAACGAATGAATCTAACCTTGGTTACATTTCATTTAAGTATTTTTTCATTAGCGAATCGAACCAGTTATTTGGGTTATTTAACCTGTGAATTCAGATTAAAATGGCTACGTGGAGACAAGCACAGTGGCAAAATAGTAGGTTAAGTAGATAAGTTAGGTATTTAGACAAGTGTTGTAAATTAATAGGTATTGTGATAAGGCCCGCTAGTTGCGGGCCGCGCGAATTCGGCGTTCGCGCTTACATTGACCTCTAGTCAGCTGATTGTAATTCAGTAATTCCACTGCTGGTTTTATGTTTCAGTATTTTCATGATTTTTTTTTATGAAATGATCGTTTCATTTAGCTGTACTAACATGATAGAATGAATAAAGCTAATAAAATGTTGTGAAAAGATGATTTCTCTTTCATCAGGATCGATTTTATATTCCACCCATCATCAAAGGTATAGTTGGTATTGTCGTCTGTCTTCATTTTCGGGAGCGTTCCAAAAATATCCTGTATAATGCCGGTATAGACCGCGACCGGATCAGTATTGAATTGATACATGCGAATACTTCGAAGCGATACAACTGCTAACTAAAGTCATCAGTAGTAATAATAATTGTGTTTTATTATTAATGTGGTTTTAAGTTGTAATTAAGTGACAATTTTGGTAATTCAATCGGCAGTTTTTAATTGTCTCGAACCCCAAGCTCGTAACATTACAATTAGCTGAGTATACCCATACACGTACAAAAATTACAGTTTTTTCACTTAATTATTTGAAAACTCGGGAAATGACTGTGTTCTCAGTTTCTTTCTACTCTTCTTAATGGATTAATGAATAAAAAGCTATTGATAAATCCAATAAATCCAATCAAAATCCAAATCCGCATTAAAAAATACGTATAACATGATTATACGGAATATTTTTAGGTAGTTTAAATACACACAAGTTTTCACTAAGAACTTTATTAATATACTTCAAATTTTCCAATAATTTAATGTCAAACTTCAAATTGAAAAAAGTTCGGAACATCCAAAAGTGCACAACTCATATTGCTCATATGATCATCATATCACCATTCAGGTCACTCCATAATGTCCAAGACTTATTTAAGTATAAATATACTTAAACATATACATGCTACTTACGTTTAGTACGTAGTAGTATAATTTATTCTGTGCTTTTAAAATATTGTAATAAGAATCTCTGATTATTATAATAATCAAGTATTTATGAAATTTGGTTCTTCGAATATATTGTATTTGTACAGCGGTCTTTGTGAGCCGCTGCAAACAAATGATACAGCACGTGGTAAATCAATGCTAAAACACCGAATATTTCGGAATTTTTACGTAGAAAAAAATTAATAATAACTAAACAAAATAAAATTAAGCATTTACATTCCATGGCTTCCCACATGATAGATGAAGAGATTAAAAAATAGATTGACTTAAACAATTGATATTTTCAAAAGTTATCGTGTTTACCACTCCATGCGGACTTGATAAATGTACACCATAAGCCACTAAAACCACTTATTTATGTAAAAATAGCAATTAATCGATTTAAAAAAAAAATTAATAAGTTCAACAATTATGTATCTTTTTAATAATGTGCTTTTTATATCATTGATATGTTCAAAATGATTGTTAGATACGATTTTATGCGACAAAACGCTGGAATCTTGATTTTTATTCGCTAGTAGAATATACCTATGCGCTTTGCGCTTAAGGCATGCAATAATTCAATATTTTAATTGTTGATAATTTTTTTTTTATTTTATGATAAAACATAGTAAATTTAATTGACAAAGTGACTACGTTAAATTTAAAATTTATCTAAAAAAATATTGTCCTTGTCTGACCATAGCTCTGACTAAGTTGATGCAATAAAATGTCGGGGCCTGAGTGCTTAAATAATTTTAAATGTATACAAACTTCAAGCATATATAGTATTAGACTAATGTTAGAATGTATAGTTTTCTACATCTACAAAATATTGAATACGAATACATAGCATACTCACGCTCCAGTTTACTCTTCTTTGTCTCAATAAAAGTTCCGATCACTAGCAGCGTAGGAATTACAGAATGTGTGTAAAGTTAAATACATAAAATATATCTTATAGCTGATGAAATAGGAATTGCAATAGCAATACTCCTTAGATACATACTGTTCCCTCCATCTCCAATACAGTGTTCCATGCAGTCGGTGAGATCTTCGAATTGATAGTCGCATGTGTCCCAAGCGCACTCGTAGGTCATCTCCATTGGGGTCTGAAAAGAAAATCTATAAATATTGATGTGCGCAATTCAAAACTCCGTCGTGGACTTGTTGTGCATTTCAAAAGGTCGTAAAAATTGCAATTGATTATAGACTTACTGATTTTTTTGTTCTTCTTTTATTTTAACTACTCATTTGAGATGAGACTGGGATTTTCTCCGGTCGGAGCAATTATTTGTAAATTATACAACGGCTTTTCGTCGTGTTGAAATTAATATTTTAACTTAAAATTTTTGATGGTATTAGAAATATAAAAATAAGATAATTATTTGACTATATTAACTACGATATCATTATACTATATTTTCATACAATTTCTATAGAAATGTTTGTTTTGACAGCTTAATAGCTGTAAAAGAGAAAATAAAAAAGAGAAACTGAAAACATTTTAATTGACCAGAATACCCAATTGAAGAATTATTAATGTTGGCGTTCCATGGACCCATGACCATCTGACAGTTAGTATTGATACTGACGTGTTGACACAGTTCCCGCATCTCCTCGGCCAGCTTGGCGGAAGTCTCCTCGTTGCAGCGAGCAGCTCTCTCCTCCCAGCTCTGCTTGGTGGCGGCAGGCAGAGAGCGCCACTCGTTGCCCACGATACGGGATATCTCGCCTGCAACAACCGATAAACTTAATAAACAGGGGCTAAGGGCTAATCATGTTTAGATTATTAATTTATTGTATGATATGTGCTTAATAAAGCAACCGCACAACAGGTACGACGTAAAAGAATGTCGTAAGAGCGGGCTATAAGAATGCTTGGAAAATCTCATAACGTCCAATGAAGCAAATGAAAAATATAATAAATAATTTATTTACAATTACAATTTGTTTTACACGTGAAATGAGCTGCAACCATTACTCCACTCTTAACAATTAACGTTCACAAAACATAATATATTTCGTTTGATTTACTACCGATATTATTATTACAGACAAATATTGCAACTAACTAAGGTTCCAGTCAGATGAATATTGCAAAGTTTTTATTATTAAACTGAATCAATTTGAAAAGACAGGCGGAGGATTTTTAATATTACTACGCGTCCATTTTGAGTTTGCCGTCGTCGACCGTTATGACGTCACAGCTGACGGTACCGTAGACAAAACTGTTACTGTGCTTTAATTGTAAGTTCCATTTTTAGGTTACATTATCGTACTGGGGCAACACAACATTAACGGACGTAGATACACTTCAGCGTTGCTATCGGTACTATAAGGGCCACGCTTGAGGCGTGGTATGACAAAGCGCGAAGGAAGTTAATTACGTAATTCTCAATAATTCTCGTCACTCAGCATATCAAATAACTGACTAGGACCAATTTGCTAAGTAAATCACCTATAGTCCGCACAATCCTCGTAGTGAACAAAGCTCACGAGAGGAAAGACATATTTTCGAGTAATCTGAGTGAACCCGCTAAGGTACTTTTATACATAGTTAGTTATATGTAAGTTAGTTGTAATACAGAGTATATTTAAGTATATTAGCGACACTATCGTAGTGGGTTTGTTTAGCCTGTAAGGATAGTTGTTAAGTGTTGGTGTAAATAAAAAAATCGGTTGTCTGTAAAGTCGGTTTACTGACGATAGTTGAACGTGACAACGTCATAAGAAAATGTTGCTATAAACAATTGACACCACATTCACTTTTCACTGCACTTCATACTTGACGAAAACATGTAAATGTATTATTGTATAGCAGCTGTCCATGCGGACGCATCGCTCACTCAGGTAGGAGAGAGACAGATGTCGAACGCTGCCGAACGCGGAGGCCGATCGTGCCTCGTTGTCGCTCGGTCCGCGCTCTCGCTTGCACTTCAAGCTTTAAATGGAACGCCTCAGAGCGAGGTAACGCCGCATGAGTCATGTTTTTTCTTGCGTGCAGCCAACTTCATCGAATTAGAAGACGTTGTCACGTCAAAAAAACTATGTTGCTATTTTACACCAGAACTCTACTACACATTCGTGCTGTAGACATACTACAGTTTTACACAACTACAATGTGGCAGAACAAAATATGTATTTTTTTACCTTGAGATTTAAAAATCAATATAAAGCCTATAATGTTAGTGGTAAACAATTTTTTATAAAACAGTGAGTTACTCACCAAATGTAGACTCAGGGTTGTTAGCAACAATAGCCTTGCGCACTTCACTAGAGTACAGGATGTAGCCAGTGACGATTTTCTGTTTCTGTTCTTTCTTCTTTTTGCCGGTGGCAGGCGTTGTTGTGGTGGGGTTTGAGCGTTCGTTGCTCGTTGATGGTGTCATGGATGGGTTGTAAGGGTTGCTGTTACCACCTGATGAAAGACAGAATATAATTAAACAGGTTAACATTTCTATTTTTAAAATGCAAATACTGCCAATGCTATTAATATCATTTATATTCCCGCAAACCACTTCAAGTAAGCTGAAAATGCTTGTGTTAAGTTAACAGCAATAGTCGATTTGTTGATGCAAGCTCACGGTTTTTATCCGTCAATCATTTATTATTACTAAATAGATCGAAACTCAGAATAAAGACAAGATATTCCGAGAAAATAAAAACAATTGAACTCATAAATAGTTATGAGTTCAATTGTTTTTATTTTCTATACCTATAGACAGCGGCGTTGCTGGCGACGCCAATGACGAGTCATCCAATGAATTTTCTAGGATCATTTCCACGTCCTGACTTCCTATAGTGGTATTGATGAGATTCGTGAACTGGGGTTTGCCATCCTACAATCAATAACATGTATTTATTAATATCATCTGCGAATATTATTACTGACATGTAGACATTGAAGTTTTGGCGGGAACTTGACCAGCGGCGGATTATTGTTTCTACAGGAGCTACAGCATTGTTTAACTAAATAATGGTTTGAAATAGATTTTGAAATGTAAAAGTGGTGAGCATTTGTGTACTAAATGTCTGCGCATGTGAGATATTAGCGGGACGGTGAAACAAGTGCTCCGAAGATGATGTGAATCTCAAGATAAGGTGTCTGTCTACTTAGGCGCCTGGAGATAATATCGCCAACGGTCTGCTGACTCAAGTTGCCGCCAAAATCACCCAAAAACTATACATAAAGGATCATTATCACTTGATACTGAGATAAATGAAGACATGGCTGAAAGTACAAGCATCCAAACCAAAAATCTTAATTAAATAAAACATGTAAACATTTTGAGTTCATTAACATTCTATTTTTAAAATTGATTTTTCAAATGATGATGATATATCACCACACGGTAATTACTAACCACTATGAATATTTATTATTGTCTGTACCTCTTACTTGACAAATCAAATATAATGTGTAAACAAGGCCTTAAACTTAATTGTTTAAGTCGTTTTTTTTATAGGATAGGGTGATAAACGAGCACACAGTCCACCTGATGGTGAGTGGTTGCTGTGTCCCATAGACATCTACATTTATCCTCAATAAAGAATCAAAATGCAGATGCGTTGTCACCCGTGAGGACTAAGATGGAATGCCTCTTTTCCAGTCTCCGGTTCTCTACACTCACTATACGAAACACAGCAGTGTTAAGCTGCTATTTGACGCTGGTATTCTGTGAGAGCGTGGTCCTTCCCCGGTCGAGCCGACCCATTCGTGCTACAACTATACTACTAATATAGCTGCAGCATGGCTCTACCACGTTCAAAAAAAAATTAATAACGTTTAGTTTATTATATTAAAAAGATGTGCAACCCTCAATTAGAAATAAAAATGGACAATTTATTAATAGAATTTTATATATGTATATTTTTGCAAATTGCAGTGTTATGAAGAAACTTGCCATGGAGTCCATGTTGACATTGGGGTTGAAAGGTTTCTGTGTAAAAGCACTGGATGAGGATTGAACTTCCTGAGCTGTAGCTAAAGCAGGCGGGCCCAAAGGTTTTGGGAAAAAGTAGATCTGAAACAAAAAAAAAGAACTAATGAAATCCTTTGTTTTAAATTTTATATTAAAATGATGCTATAATTTACATTCTTAATCGAATTCAAAATTGAAAAAAAAAGTAAAATACTGTTGTTTCAACTTTTTAGCAAAATAACAATTGCAAACTTTAAAGCCAGAGGATATTTAACTAAATCAACTTAATACGTCGTCAACTAAGACCCCATCGCCTCTATCCATCAGACCTTACTAATTGTATAAAAAGTTTGTTATTGATTTCTCGAATTTATCCTAACATTGAATATTAGACAAAAGTTGAGGACTGAAAAAGCAGCACTCTACTAACGACTAAAAATCCTCTATTTCGAATCCGCACACTGATTTGCTACTTCTATACAACAAGCATTTAAATGTTATTTAAACATACATTTGTATACATCTAAGTGTATTTGGCACTACACTGTATAACTGTTTCTTGTTCCAAATAAAACAAAATAAAATACATGGCAACATTTTAAAATAAAGCTAACAGTGCACTGGTCTACCCTCACCTCATCGACAGTAACATCCTTAGTGTGTTCGAACTTTCGCAGACCGGCTTTAAGTTTCCTTGCAACACGATTCGACTCGTCGTAGACGGATTCGCAAACAAAAACATCGCCCTCCGCTATCTCTGTCGGACGACCTGCATAATTAAATTAAAAAGTAACAAGTGGTAAAAACTGTGATTAATAAACTCGCTTGCGTAAATAGTTTACTGAAAAGATATGGTGGCATGGTGATGCCTAGTGATGGTAGCTTAAGAGCACCCATTATTGTTCACGGTAAAGTTTTGACTTCCGGTGTTGTTAGCCGTGCACATACACATTGTGTTAGTATGCGTAGGCTCGGGAATTCCCGAGTAACTGTACCCTAATATCTTCCCATAACCCTATATTATAATGAAAATAATTTAAAATTATCCAATTTACTTACACTTGAGATAATCATCGTAGTCCAACACTGAACACTTGCCCACGATGCCCACTAACGGACTTGTGTCGTGCATTGTCGTCAGTAAAACCTCTTGCTTGTAGAATGGCTTAAAACAAAAACAAAAATATTATTTTGCAATTTTATGACAAAACCCTAAAAAATATAATACTATAAGACTCCTTACATTTGCTTGATACCAATTTTGTAAGTGTTTGTTGATATTTCACGCATTAGAACTAAACTTCGTCTTTTGTAATGCGTACAGCAAAGAAATTGAATAATTTGCCGGCGTGTTTCTTTCCGTTCGAATACAATTTGGGCGTCTTCAAGGCAAGAGTGAATATTTTGTTACGCTAAGACAGTGCTATTTACCATCTTTAGGGCTTCATCACCACTCACCACCAGGTGAGACTGTGGTCAAGCACTGACTTATAGTATATAGATAAATGTAGGATAAAGACAATATGTTAAATAAATTTAACTTTCCGTTTTCTTTATTAAAGACACATACAAGAAGTAAATTTGTTTAGGCCAAATAATTAACACTGTAAAAATTTGCATTCACGACGCGCGCTCGACTCGTGCATCCGATGTTACCAAGGTCACCGTCGCCCCCCCGCTCCCGTTCGCATTCCATTCGAGGACTGCCGTTAGTATGAAAAAGCGACGTGGCGCGACGGTCGGTCGCGCGCCTCCTACGGCGTTATCTTAATTTGTTTTTCGTGATAACGAGGCTGATCTCATATAATTATTGTTGTAACCGTTTTGAGTATTGTTTGCGCCGCTGGGTTGGTTGCGCGCGGCCGATGTAGATTTTTTGACGGTCTAAAGTTTGAGTAAATTGTGCGCGCCTAATTTACTATTGAATATTTGGGTCTCGTGTAGACCGCCTCGAATTTAGTGTTTGTTTTGAGTGTTACGTTACAAGAGGCCTAATTTGAGTTTTGAGCTTGTATTGAGTTTGAATTATTAACTTAACCTTGACTGACATTTAATTTGATTCGACGAGTTGCTTCGTGGCATTTTGATATCGTGCGAGGGAATTTTGCCTTGTTGTGTGGAACGCTGAACTTTGAGACTCGAGAATAGGCCGCGTTCGTTCCTGTGTTTGTAATTTGTGCTAAGTGAACCCGGAACATTGAATATTGAACTTTGAACGCCTGTTCGTTACTTGTGTCGTGTGTCACTTGTTTTAATTTCGATGAACGTTGAATTGGTTGACTTTGAAGTTAATTAAGTGTACAGTAAAGTTGATAAACAAATATAGTGAAAATGATAGCGGAAGGTTTCAATTGAGAGATCTCACTTTTGGAGAGAAGCAGCGCTTGTGGATCTGCGGTCTGACTTCAACGGTTAAGTCAGGTTACATTGTACACACTACTTACATGCACATCACTTACCACCTGACTGGTACCCTATGGTCAACCCTACCTCCGGAAATCGGTAAGTTGTGCTTGCTTATTCGTCAGCCGTTTTAGAACATTTATCCATAGGCCATTGGGCCCCTCCGTTAGTTGCCCGTCGCGACTAACACTCATGGGCCCTGGTACGGTCGTCCGTTGCCAGGGCAACTAAGGGCGTGAACAAAATTACTATTTATAAAATACATAATATTAAAATTACCTTGTTAATTATGTTCGCCACCTCCGCTGGGAAGATAAGGAAAGGTCCGCGGAAGTAACATTTATTGCTGAAAGAAATGTGCAATTTCAAAAAATAGGTATGTATAAATATTGTAGTTACGGTGTAAGAAAATCCTATACCCCATATTATCCCGTGGGATAAAAGGCGTAACAAATGACTGAGGTAAATGAAACAGGAGATGGGCAGCAGCATCTTCCTAAAAATTCAAAATAATACACGGTAGCCTACCCACAGCAACTATAGCAAATATCCCCCTTAATTGGTAATCTATGGTGGAGGCCATGTCCAGCAGAGGACTGCGGCGGATGGTGAATTAAACCACATATATACAGCTTATAGTTTATACAATACACACAAGAGTAGAAGGAAACACGAAGTAAGAAAGATAGTCAAGATACAGTTAGAGAGAAGTATGAAATTATAAATAGAAGAAGAAGCACATAAAACAAATAACAGGGAGCAATAATCGTATAGCGTAAGCGTGAGCAGGGCGCAAGATGCCCTAAAAATATTGATATTTTCCCAGAATATTATCGATATTTATCGTTGATATATTTTTAAATGTTATATTTTTATTATTTAATTTAATAGACAAAACATTAGGTATGATACGCGGTGCGTAATTGTTGTACAAAGTACACAGTGCGGAGTGGACAGTGACTAGCGCATGGTAGCATAAATAGATTTGTAGTGTGTGGTGCTTAATGTTCTTAATATACTGATGTGCAGCTGCTGTACAGCGCGTTATGCACTATGGTGAAATTAAATATATTTTTTATAATTTTTTTATTTATTCCCTCTGACCGGAGAAAAAACGGCGAAAGCAACTCCGCAGATAACCTCTTTTTTGTCATATTTTAAAAGTTAATGTCATATTATACAAAAAGGGAAACGAGAACAGACACATCGTTAACTTAAGTTCGGTACCTAATGCGGTGTGCGTAATGCATAGTGCGCAGTGCAGAGTGCGTAAAGCCCTGTGCTTAGTGCACAGATCGTAGTATGCAGTGCGTGATGCTTAGTGCTAAGGAGGGCACATCGTTCAATCCGTAGCGCACAATGTGTTATATATAAGTGATGCGTACTACGTAGTGCTCCACACCGTCAGTGATTATGATGATGATGACAACGTAGTGCATGGTGCATACTCACTCGCCGGTTTCCCAGATGGTGTCGACCTGCGCGATCATCTGCTTGCCGCCGTCCGTCACCACGTAAACGTAGTCGCCGGTCTTGATGACGCCGGAGCACACGGTGTTGTACTGCTCGTAGTACGTGTTCTCGTCGTCCGTGCCCAGAGGGTTGTACATCACTACGTCCTGCAACAAATAATTAAGAGTTTAATTTGGCTAATATAATTCGACCACCAAAAAAATAGTTTTAAATATTTAGGTAGAAATTCGATGCTTTCCACCACCACGAACCACGATGTTCGTCATCAAAAAATAATAACATAAACTGCCACGCCCCTTTGACAAACCAGTCTGAGTAGGTCCCTTTTATCCTAACACAAGCACTAGCATCCCTATAAAGATATTTTAATGCCTGTATCAGTCGAATACTCCACCCAAACGTTGCCATAACGCACCCCTGTTCAATCTGTCATACATAGGCCTTTTCCGTGTATAAAAATGCACAGAATTCTGGTTATTGACCAAAAACTCTCCATCTTCTTCCATTTCTAAATCCAGCTTGCACATCAAAAACTTTCCACCGGTTTCTATCATAACGCTTTCAATGTAAACTTTAGCATACAGTTTTTCAACCTCCCACCCTCCCTTAATTGCGTGCACTATACCCGTCACCACCAATGCCAGCACCACCACTCCCAAAACCACCACACTAGGAACGATACACTACTCTCGATAAAACGACATGTATTTCGCCTCTACAAGAGGCATCCTGAGGTGAAGTAGTCGGAGGCTAGCCTCGGCCAGCCACATAATTTTCTTTCTTTACGCGGAATTAAGCAAGTTAAATTATAACAACCTCATTATAATGGATTTCCGCGAAGTAACGCCTCATTATATTAATTATCATCGAAATGTCAATTTTTGCGATTAAAATATTATGTGAAACACAAAATTTCCAATTGAAAACATCCAATCGATAGTCGTACCTAAAAAACTTTTATGTGATGTTCAATAAAATTCTACTAAAAGGAACTATTTTTACTAACTAAATTAAACAGGTCTAGAAAAAATACGAGAGATTCGAGAGTATTTGACAAACAATAAAAAACTTTTTTATAACTTTTACTACCAGATGAAAAGTTTAATCTCTAAAATCAAAAATCCCTAACATTTTTTATAGGATAGGGTGATAAACGAGCACGTAGTTCACCGGATGGTAAGTGGTCGCTGTGACTCATAGATATCTACATCTATCCTCAATAAAGAATCAAAATGCAGATGCGTTGTCACCCGTGAGGACTAAGAGGGAATGCCTCTTTTCCAATAAAAAGGGTCTCAGGTTCTCTACACTCACCATACGAAACACAGCAGTGTTAAGCTGCTATTTGACGCTGGTACTTTGTGAGAGCGTGGTTCCCTTTCCATTCCCCGGTCGAGCCGACCCATTCGTGCTACAACTATATACTACTAATGTAGCTGCAGCATAGCTCTACCACATAAACATAATCAATAACATCCAATAAGTGCACAAGTCGCGGCACGTTCCATTCAGCGCTATTCGCGCCATTCGTGTCCGCGCACGAATTGAATTGCACGAACGCGACTGGAGAGCCAATCAGCGCGTGCGAACGATACGCACGAGCCAATAAGCGCGACTTATGCGCAATAAGCCAATCAGCACGATTTATGCGCAATAACGGTCACCGCTAGAGTTTCGTGCCGCTACTTATAACTTTCAATTTAAAATCAGATAACTATATTATGAGCTATAACAACCACTTCAATTACTCACCGGTCTATCCTTCTCTTGAATATTTTCCAACACCTCAAGTTCGGCAAGCTCATCCTTATGCTTCTCAACTCGTTCACGGAACACTGATACTGTTCTGTTTGGTTCTAAAGGTACCTGCAAACAACATTTATTATCAAAATCCATACAAGGCATACAAAAGAAAACAAGTATGTCTTCCAATCTATTTTATGTGTTGAATGTTTACATTTAAACTTACATCTCTGGGCACAAGCGTGGCTTCTTTTTCAGCACCCTCCCATACTTTGATTTTCTTGAACCATCGGTGTTTGGTGTTATAACGACTCTCGCACACGTACACATCTTTGTCCGCATATCCTGTACAAAAATAAAAATAAAGCAATTTATTCTACATGCATTCATTATTTTCGTGTATTATAAAAGCTCTTAAAATTTCTATCAGATGCATTGACAAATTTACGTCTAGTCTCCCAAAATATAAAATAAGCTCATGGATACGCTGCCACATGTTAATATTTTTTTTTTATCAAAACCACAAAAACTTTCTAAAATAAGAAGGCGATGTAACTTTTAAACAGTCAGAGGAACAACAGAGTTTACCTTCAGGGCGAAACTTGAAGTACTCCTTCACGTTCATAACGTAGCAACGGCCGATGACATGATCAAGAGGTATAGTGCGGTGTGTCTCCGTCTTGAACACTTCTTGCTGCAAAAATTTACGAGTTCTTATGTGGTATGTTTCCTGCGGCCTGCAAGTGAAATGGCTACATTTGAATATTTAAAAAATATCATCTTTTTTTACTTTAAAAACAATCACTCAAATCATATTAATTTTAATTAAATATAAAACAGCATTCAGGTTTTGTGTATTTTAAAACTATTCTGGCTTAAGACTGACCACAACCATTCTACATTTAATAAAAAAAAATTATAAATTTACACATCTAGACAGTCTCAAAGTAATATAAGTCTAGACTCTAGTAATATTTAAAATATTTATGAGAAATAAAAAACGCGTCAATAAATTGTCCACTTTTCAAAAATATTATAAAAATAAACAACACTATCGAATATACAAACATACATTAAATTAATTTGATCATAAGTATTCACTAGAAACGAAAAAAATATGAAATCACCTGAAGTAAGGGTTGCAATAAATCATTGGAACTCCTTCATTGTTGGTCCAGACTCTTTCCACTTGCACAATCGCCGGTTCTTTATTGCCTTTCTCTGGCTGAATGTACACAAAGTCGCCTTTGTTATACTGGGTTTGTAATGGGGCTCCACCAGCTGGCATAGAATCATCTGTACTTGACCTGAACAATAATTTAATAATATTACTAACGATGCCAATCGCAATCTAATATTACCCAGCCTTCTCACACAGTATGGTATTGGAGTGGAGGAATTCACCATCAAAGCACTTCTCGTGGGTGTCTAAAGACTTGATTAATCTACTCTAACCGGCAATAAAAAAAAGGGTTAAAATGATATTTGATATTGCAATCTCAAGTACTAAGCGTTGAAATAACGATAAATCTTCCCTGCGACTGCCTCGTTGGTCTAATGATCGTAAACGCGAGTGCTAACCATGTGGTTAGGAAATCTGAGTCGGGCTATAATCATTTTTTTTTTCTATAGGATAGGGGGCAAACGTGCATACGGCTCACCTGATGGTAAGTGACTACCGCCGCCCATGAACAACTGCAACACCAAGGGAATTGCAGGTGCGTTGTCGACCTTTTAAAAAGGAGTAAGCTCTTTTCTTGAAGGTCCCTAAGTCGTGTCGGTCCGGAAAAATCACCGGTGGTAGGCTATTCCACAGAGAGGTCGTACGCGGAAGAAAACTCCTAGTAAAACGTGCAGTGTTGGACCGCCTAGTATACAGATGGTGTGGATGGTATCATGAGTTTTGCCGCAGTTATTTTGGTTTTCCAGTCAGTATCCTCAGTAGCAGACCGGCGTCAGGATGTTCGCGGTGTTTCGCCCCCGTGTCTTGAAAAGTACGTAAAACCATTGATCCTGCGCCTGATCTCTCTCCAGTCGTGTAGGATGAATGTCCCATCGGAATATTGAAGATTGGGAATAGAGTGCACCTGTTCTTGCATACTACTCGTGCACTATAATCCTGTCCAGCACAGCTAGTTTCCGTTAAGACATGACACCCTGACCGAAAAGTCTGGATGATAACAAAATATTAAATCTTCCCTATTTTGCATAATCTCATTTCCAGCATTGAAATGTTTATGGGCTAAAGGTGCAATCAATAACATACAATATTTGGAAATTATTACCGATATATTATTTTTATAAAGACAAGCTAGCTGTCTAATAATCTACATTCATTTACTTTACTCGTAAACAAAATAAAATTATATATTTTCATAGTATAAACTCAAGCTTAGAATACAACAATGGTATATACGAGTATACCTCTTTTATAAATATCTTTAAAATATACAGAGTGAGAAAAAAAAATTAATGATCACCTCGTCTCGTCTTCATCCTCATTCTCCTGCAGAAGCTTGCATTGCTTTACCAACTCCACACTGGTAGTGATAGTATCTCTGGTGAACGACAAGGCTGGGGACTGTAGTACTCCACGGCAAAGCTGATCTCTTTGCTCTATGAAGTACGATTGTAGTTCCACTGAGTCCTCGAATATTTGACTGTCCGTGCGGGAGAGGCGGCGGGCTCTGGAAATATATAGCATCACATTTGATACAATATCATTATATTTTTTTGTTTTATAAAATTGTAATGACAAGTGAACTAACAGCAGGTGGACTATTGGTATGTGATGACTAAGATTATAAATGAAGACAAAGATGGAATGCCGAATGCCACAGCATATGATTAATAAACTACAACTAACAGGCCCTTCTGGTGGCAGAAATAGGTAAGAGGGTGGTCACCTACCGAAAGTTATAGCTAGACATACATTTTTTAACGTTTTTGACTAATATAATAATGGTCTAATTAATAGAATCAGGCGTTGCTTTGCGGAAATCCATTATATAAAAGGCATACACGAGGCATCCTCAGGTGATATAGACTCTACGGTGGCTAACCGCTAAGTGAGCGGCGAGCCAAAACAAGTGCCTTTTATACAGACCGATGACGTAACCGCTTTCTACTTAAGGAGCGAGCGACTGCGTCATGCGATAAAACATGCGACCAATCACCGCTGGACTTACGCAGCCGTTTGTAAAATTAAAAACAAACCGCCGCGCAACGCCCACCCTCCAACCACGCAACCAATCGCCGATCACCGTGAGGGTGACAAACGACCATATTGCGAGGCTCTCTATTATTAGAGAGCAGGCTTCAAGATATTTAAGAGAGGTGAGTTAGTAACATTTGTTTGTTCATTCAGCAATGCAACGGTATTATTATTACTTTTTAATATCTCTAACTGTTCCAGCACACACAGCTGCAGCCCTTTATTACACGTATGTAAGACTTTAAAGGAGTCGTCGTTGGCTAGGTTGTGTCCAGTGTCCAAAAGATGTTTGGCAAAATGAGATTTATCGGGATTGCAATTCCTGTACGCGGCTAAATGCTCTTTATAACGTGTCTCGAAATTGCGACCAGTCTGACCCACGTAAACGGCATGGCATTCGTCACAAACAAGTGATCTTGTTTGCAATATGCTCGTTTGTCACCCTCACGGTGATCGGCGATTTGTTGCGTGGTTGGAGGGTGGGCGTTGCGCGGCGGTTTGTTTTTAATTTTACAAACGGATGCGTAAGTCCAGCGGTGATTGGTCGCATGTTTTATCGCATGACGCAGTCGCTCGCTCCTTAAGTAGAGAGCGGTTACGTCATCGGTCTGTATAAAAGGCACTTGTTTTGGCTTGCCGCTCACTTAGCGGTTAGCCACCGTAGAGTCTATATCACCTGAGGATGCCTCGTGTAGAGGCGAAACACGTGTCGTATTATCGTCAGTGGTGTGTCTTGCCTAGTTTAGTGGTGTTGGGAGTAGCGGTGCTGGGATTAGTGGTGACGGGGATAGTGCACGCAATTGAGGGAGGGCGGGAGGTGCTCTTCATACTAGGTAAGACACATCATTTTATTTTATAACGCGGATATTTGCGAAGTAAATTTTTCTAAAAGCTTTTATATAATAATGGTCCTTAAATGTCCTATTGCTGAACACGAGCCTTCACTAGAAAAATCTTATTTTGGAAATGTTATGGATTAGATATATCTTTACTAGGCTAGCCTAATGGAGAAATCTACAAAAGCAATAAATATGTTAAATTCTCAAGGAAGGAATTCTTCTACACAATTGTAATAAACATTTTTCTATTATTTTTATAACTGCTTTTTTTTATAAAAATAGCTTACCTTTCAAATACCGCAAACATATCTTGTTGGAAATGATCAAGACGTTTATACAGTCCTTTGTCTAAACGTCGTTTAACTAAATCCAAAGATATAGCGCGGACTTTCTCTCCATTTGTGGCTTCGTCGTGTTCCGGTAGTTCTGCCATACTATCGGAGTAACATCTGAAATCAAAATATTTTATGCGACCGAGATATAATTTCAAAGTATAAAATATAATTAATTCTGGGTTCAGTTGAATTCAAATGTACAACAATTATTACTTTTTCTACTGATATATTTCGTAATAATAACTTGTTGATCCTCAACAACTTTCAATGATATGCTGGCCTTTTAGTAAACTGAACCAACTTAAGGAATTAAAATAATCTTACCTGCCCTCTTCATCCTGATGGTTATAAACTGTGGTGAATAAATTAAGCAACAATTCTTGTACAGCGGCTGGCACATCTGGCACTGCGTCATCGTCTTCCCTGTAGTATAATGAGGTATAAATTAAACGAAATAATATTTGGGGAAACTAGCTTTATTAATGTTAAATAGTAAAAGAAATTTGATAAAAGTCATGAATTTAAAATTAGCTTTATAGTTTTGTTTTACCGTAACTTCTACTATGAAGAAATTTCCATTTCTACAAATGAAATATGTACCACAAAAATTTATCAAGTGTATGCAAAAGGTAGATTTATGCTGTGCAGCTTTTTCTTATTATATTTAATATAATAAGATTACGGACGGACCACGCTCTCACAGAATACTAGCATAAAATAGCAGCTTAATGCTGCTGTGTGTCGTATGGTGAGTGTAGAGAACCGGAGACCCTTTTTACTGGAAACCAGGCTTTCCAACTCAGTCATCAGGACCCACTACCATCAGGTGGACAGTGTGCTCGTTTGTCACCCTTATTCTATAAAAAAAATATTTTCTAAAGATTGAATGCTGCAGAATTTGTTTTATTAATGGATCGAAATTGTACAACTAAAATTACTGCTTATAACAGTAATTTTAGTTGAACCGTTTAAAAGTTAAGGAGAACATTTGTAATATTTTCTCATATTTAAATTGCGATACATATCAAAAGAGTGTATTATATTCTTCTAAATTATAGTCAGTTTTCAGTAAGCTTAATCACATTGACCATTGACCTAGATAGTAGGTCAATACTTAACTATAAGTATTCCTTATCATTGACCACAAAAGACTTAAGAAAATGGCAACAAATCATAGTTAACATATCATTAGAGCTAGAATAATCACTATCACTATTGGGGTTAGCCAATTCCAGTCTAAACGATATCAAATTTATTACAAAACAAAAGTAATAACAAATTTACCTCAAAAGCTGCTTGGTTTGTAAGCAAACTCTCTGCAAAATCAATGCATCTTTGTAGATCTGCGAATCGGGTTCATTATACTTGCAGGCATTATCAAACATTAGGATGAAGTCCGAAGCCAGTTCATTCACTGAATTGTAGACTCCATTCTTAAGTTTATGAGCTATTTTCTCCATATCTATTGGGTTTTTAATTAGCTCATAATAGTCTGGATACTCGATTTTGCTTGGCAGCTTCATGAAGATGAGCGCTAGTTGTCTGTTAGCTGGAAAAGAGAATCGCATGTGAAAACTAAATATGACCTTAAGCCTATGGGATAGATGAGAGCCCACAAACCATATTTTTAAACAACTTCAAAAAAAGAAAGGCATTCTCAATTTGATTTTTGATTCTATTTTTTTTAATGTGTGTTACCTCAGAACTTTTTTCTAGGTAAACCGATTTCAATGATTATTTTTTTATTTGAAAAGTGGTGGTTCTCATGTGTTCCCACATTTTGATCAAGATCTGACCAGTAGTTTTTGAATTATCCTTAATTTTTTTTTTTATAGAATTGGGTGACAAACGAGCACATAGTAGTCCTCCTGATCGTAAGTGGTTGCTGTGGCCCATAGACATCTACAAGTATCATCGTTTGCGAATCAAAATGCAGATGTGTTATCAGCCGTGTGGACTAAGATGGAATGCCTCTTTTCCAGTAAAAAGGGTCTCCCGTTCTCTACACTCACCATACGAAACACAGCAGCATTAAGCTGTTATTTTACGCTGGTATACTGCGAGAGCGTGGGCCTTCCCCGATCGAGCCGACCCATTCGTGCTACAACTATACAATTAATATAACTGCAGCATGGCTCTACCACGTATGAGAGGGGTATGTTGTAGTTCTTAAAATTCAATATTTTTTGTGAAATATTTAATTTTATAAGATAATATTATCATACACAAATCATAACTTTATTTAACTTTGTAAATACAACTTTTGGGATTTAGTGTAAACATGTGAAAAAAAAGGTACGGTATTTGCTTACTTATTTGTCATAAAAATTTATTGTCACCAATACTTAATTACATACCTATCAAGTGAACATTGAAACGAAAATAATTTTAAACTAACCTTTAGGATCGCGATAATCTCGAATTGCGTCATATAGTGTCCTCAATTTCTGTTCGAAAGGCGACAACTGTCTAGACTTGACAGTTTTAATAGGCTTGAGCGGAGTCTTCTTCTCGTGACTGTTGTTAAGTTCCTTTAGTTTCTCATTCATGACGCGTTCTAGAAGATTAGCGTCTTCGTATATCATGGAACCTTCTTCGTTGAACTGACGGCAGTTTGAGAACATAAGACGGAAATCGGAAATCATTTCTTCCACACTGTTGTAGCGATCATTCTGTAGAAATTATGTTACATTGAATATTTCAGTAAACGTAATAACTTTATATTATTTACTAGTTTTTAACGATTATATTGGCAACTTTGCGTTACTAGTAGCTGGTTTCCATATTTAAAAAAAAAACCTTCATTTGCTTTTACGACCCGTTCAACAGTGTTAGAACTGAATTAAAAAAAGCCTCTTAAAAACAAATGACTGAAGTAAAACATTTATTTTTTTATCATTTGTTCTTTCCAAGATTATCGATAAACTTACTTTAATATTTGCTTCAATAGTGATCATATCGATGGGCTTATCTATAACATTGTAATATTCAGGATACAGTTTCTTGCTCGGTTTTTCCATAAACAACAGCATGGGCTGTCTCCCATCGGAACACGTGAATTCTACTAATTGTTTAGAAATGAAATGGAGTTTCTTTTTCAAAGGTACGTTAGACTTTGGCACCGATGGCGTGGTAACTGGTGAGGGCGCTGTCACCGGTATCGGGTTTATCCTTGGACGACCTGTTTTTGGAAAGAATTAAAGTTTAGAAATGTCATAAATACGCCAAATCGAAAAGGATTAATAAACCGTAGTCGAAATTCACTATCACATTTTATAATGACCTACAAAATTTAATTTCCAAGTTACTTTTATACAAAATTTATTTGAGAAGTTGAAAATAATAATTCCGTAGAATTAGTTTAAATAAATGTGTATGTTGTATTTTTCTATTTCCTGTATTTACATAACATTGAAATACATAATATTTACTAGGCTTTTTGCCAAGGCTCGGCAAACGTCCACAAGTACAAGCGTGTAAAGAGGGCGTTTGGCTTGGCTTGCGTGAGTTTGTGGACGTTTGTCTCCGATCCGGTCTAGTGTCGCTTTTTGGACACAGATCAAAGAGCGCATGCTTGGGTGTACGTAGCACACTGACGCATTCACAAGCATGAAAACGACTTCCAAACGTCAAACGAGATTTGTGGACGCTTGGGGCTTGAAGACGTTTGCCAAGGCTTGGCAAGCATAGAAAGGCACCATTAAATTATCTATACAGTCCTACTTTCCACGTTATAGTGCCTAGAACGCTGGCTGCGTTGTACATATACATAGCCTTTGAGCGAGAAAGCAATCAGCCCTCGTACATTAGCGACAACGACAAATCTCTGATATGTACAATTCCTTTAGAAACTTCCCCTCGCGTTGATAATCGATAAGTAATAAAAATAAATAGTAGAAGAAATCATTTTATTAAAATTATATAAAATTTTATAATTGAAATTTCACTTTGAAATTTCAATAAATAACTACACAAATTTTAATTCATGTAGGTTTTTTTTTTAATTAAACCTTTATATTTCATTTTGTCATATCATTTTTGCTTTTTTATAGTTACTGTTAAGTTCTTATATAGAATATTTCGTAGAAGAGTGTTAAGACCTGTTCAAGCCTATACTATGTATAAAATTGTATACCTCTCGGTCTAGGTGTTGCAACTTGTGTCTGGTTCTTAACAGTAGAGAGACTTTCGTCATCGCTTGACGAGCTTTGGACAATATCCAATAATTCTTGCACGCGTTGTTGCATTAATCTGAAAAAAAAAATGTAAGATCATGATAGGTATCATGAATGTCGTCAACTAACACTTGATAACTTTGGACGATATTCGGAATTTGTCATCACAGACTAAATCAACTAAGGGAAACATAACTATGTAACATAATCCTTCAGATATCTAATGTCTCATGCTAAAGACGGCGCTACGGACAGCGTAGCTTCAAATGGTAACACAGCAGTACAGACACTGCTGCTTAGGCAAGAGGATGGTACCTTGACGGACTCCTAGGCAAGGTCCTCCAGACCGAATTTCGGTCACGGCGGCCAGTCTCAACGGAGACTAGCTATAGATTATAAACAGGACTATAACTATAGACAGGATTATAGTGCTCGAGTGTATGCGCAGAAACAAGTGCACTCTCTATTCCCTCACTCTCATAGTCCGATAGGACGGTAATCCGACAAGACTGGAGAGAGATCAGGTGCAGGACCAACGGCTTTACGTGCTTTCCAACTTCCTGAAAACACAATAACTGATTTTTGCCCGAACCCGGAATTCGTAAACGTGGTAGAGCCATGCTGCAGCTATATTGTGGTTGCAGCACGAATGGGTCGTCTCGACCGGGGAAGGACCACGCTTTCGCATAATACCAGCGTAAAATAGCAGCTTAATGCTGCTGTATTTCGTATGTGAGTGTAGAGAACCGGAGACAATTTTAACTGGAAACGAGGCATTCCATCTCAGTCCTGAAAGGTTACAATGCATCTGCATTTTGATTCTTAATTGAGATCAGGGTCTTTCGGTCACAGCAGCGTTTTGCGATCACTAGACGAACAAAGTAGTCAAAAGTACCAACTAGTACAGGTAGCCATTAAACATTAGCTGGACTAAGCTATAAAACTTACCTTTGCAACTTAACAGCATCTTTATATAACCTAGAAGTAGGCACATTGTATTGCTTGGCATTTTCAAACATTATGTTCATGTCCCCAGCCACCTCTGATAGAGTACCATAATTGCCTCTCCTTATTTTGTTCTTGATTTGATTGAGCGAAACAGGGTTCTTAATTTCCTTGTAGTAATCCGGGTAGGCACGACGTGAAGGAAGCTTCCAGAAAGGCTCCGCCATCGGAGTTCCTAAACAATAACACAACTACAATTTTGGGAAAACAACTATATTTATACTTTTCAATTCTCTTCAATTTTATGTGCAGAAACGTGGTAGTAAAAACTATTTCAAAATGCATAGAGATGTTATGTCCCTTCGCAAGTACAGTGGATGAAGCCGAACAGAAAGAACTCGATCTTGGAAGAATCCAGCCGCTCTTCATTGGGCGCTCTCAGTGAATGGAACTGATACTGGGTATACCAATGAACGTTGAACTATTAAAAAGTGGTTCTATTAATATAGTTATTTTTTATAGGATAAGGGTGACAAACGAGCACACAGTCCATCTGATGGTAAGCGGTTGCTGCGGCCCATAGATATCTACATCTATCCTCGTTTGCGAATCAAAATGCAGATGCGTTGTCACCCATGAGGACTAAAATGGAATGCCTCATTTCCAGTAAAAAGGGCCTCCGGCCACCTGCACTCACTAAGCGAAACGCAGAGGTAAACCTCTACTTCACGCTGCTATTCTGTGAGATCGTGGTACCACCCCGGTTTGAGCCGGCCCATCCATGCGACAGCAAAAGCTGCCGCGTGGCTCTACCACTGTTAAACTTTTGACTTACTGCTGCCATACTTCTGACTTACTTATGTTTTTTTTTATTCTGACAGTTGCAATATAGTATAGCTTTTCGTAAAAATATTTATGGCAATAAGTGAATTAATAAGGGTTGTAAAAAAATGTGGCTCTTCACTAAGTACATAATTTTTTGTTGGAAGACTATACAGTATTTTTTTATAAATATGAAAGATACGTGCATAATTTTTTTATCCCTTATACATCTATAGCCATAGAGACTATTTTATACAATCGGCTCAAAAATAATTATTCAATTTTGGAGATAAAAAAGTTATATTTTTGGATTTATTACTATTTTACTTCAGGAACACTGTTTTTTTTTAAATGTATATATTGAGTACTAATTATTGTAATCATTACAGCCCTTCACAAGTCCACTGCTGAACATAGGCCTCCCCCAAAGAATGCCACAAAGCACGGCATTTTTCAGTGCCTAGAAGACTGCAATGAAGTGGACGATATGAATGACAAGCTCGTGGAAACTGTCCATGCGGTCGGAGCTAAGTTCTGCAAGACCCGCCGCAGAAGAACACAAAAACTCTCCGATCACACTCTTAATCTCATGGCTGTTAGACGGGAGATGAAGCTACATTCTTCAACAGACTTGACAGCATACAGGCATCTGAACAGACAGATCTCCAAATGCATGCGGCGGTACTTACGCAACTTCAATACAGCTCGTATTGAAGAAGCGATCGAGCGGAACCAAGGCTCCAAAGTCTTTGCCAGAGATCTGTCTGCCAGAAAGAGCCAACTGTCAAAGCTGAAGACAGAGTGTGGCAGCATCGTTTCCGGGACACTTGAGATTTTGAGTGAGATTGAGAGGTTCTATGGGCAGCTGTACACGTCATCGTTGGAGCCACACGCAAGTGTGAGTAACGATCCAAGAGCGAGTCTCATCCGACACTATTCCGAAGATATCCCGGACGTCAGTCTGAGCGAGATTAGAATGGCTCTCCAGCACCTTAAAAACGGTAAGGCCCCAGGCGAGGATGGAATTACAGCGGAGCTTCTGAAAGCGGGTGGAAGACCGGTACTTGAAGTCCTTCAGAAGCTCTTTAGTTCCGTCCTCCATGGTGGCATTACACCGGAGGCGTGGAGCAGAAGTGCGGTGGTCTTGTTCTTCAAGAAAGGTGACAACGCTCTCTTGAAGAACTACAGACCGATTTCCCTTCTGAGCCGCGTCTACGTGCTGTTTTCGAGAGTCATTACGAATCGTCTCGCGCGCAGACTTGACGACTTCCAGCCTCCCGAACAAGCCGGTTTCCGAAAGGGCTTTAGCACCATAGACCACATACATACCCTTCGGCAAGTTGTACAGAAGTCCGAAGAGTACAATTTGCCACTATGTCTGGCGTATGTGGACTATGAGAAAGCCTTTGATTCCGTCGAAATTTGGGCGGTGCTGCAGTCCCTTCAGCGGTGCCAAGTTGACTGTCGGTATATCGAAGTGTTGAAGTGCTTGTACAGTAGGGCTACGATGGCTATCCGAGTACAGAACCAGAGTACGAAACCTATCCAATTGCAGAGAGGTGTAAGACAGGGTGACGTCATATCCCCGAAACTCTTCACCGCTGCATTGGAAGACGTTTTCAAGCTTCTGGACTGTATTAACATCAATGGCGAGTACATCACACACCTTCGATTTGCCGACGATATAGTCCTTATGGCAGAATCGCTGGAGGACCTAAGCACTATGCTCAATGACCTCAATAGTGTTTCCCAACGGATAGGTCTTAAGATGAACATGGACAAAACAAAGATTATGTTTAATGTCCATGTCACACCTATGCCGGTAGTTGTTGGGAGCACTAAGCTCGAAGTTGTTGACGAGTATGTTTACCTGGGACAAATAGTCCGACTAGGTAAGTCCAACTTCGACCGAGAGGTCAATCGACGGATTCAACTCGGTTGGGCAGCGTTCGGGAAATTACGGCACATCTTCTCGTCAGACATACCTCAAAACCTTAAAACGAAATTGTACAACCAGTGCGTGTTGCCAGTGATGACTTACGGAACTGAGACGTGGTCCTTCACTGCTGGCCGTATGAGGAAGCTCAAGGTCGCTCAGCGAGCTATGGAGAGGGCTATGCTCGGAGTTTCTCTGCGTGATAAACTTAGGAATGAGGATATCCGCAGTAGAACCAGAATAACCGACATAGCCCAACGAATTAGTAAGCTGAAGTGGCAGTGGGCCGGCCATATAGCTCGAAGAACCGACAACCGATGGGGAAGAAAGGTTCTCGAGTGGCAGCCTCGTACCGGTAGGCGAAGTGTAGGGCGTCCCCCCACGAGAATTATTGTAAGTTATAGAAAAATTGCTTGGTTTCTTTGATTTGACCACAAGAAAAGGGAAGTATGAAATCAATTTTAAATCCAATGCAATTAGCCCCTCAAATCAATACCATAGCATTACTTACACCTCACGTAACCCTCAAGTATCGTTCTAGAATAAACCTTCTAGAAATTTAAATTTTAGCCTTGATTTTATTGTTAATACAGTAGTTCTCCCGGAAATATGAATTTGTGTGTCTATTATGTAATAAAGAATCATTTAAAATGGTTTTCCAAAATAAGTCAAATATCCTATTAAATTAAAGTTGGTAAAAAATCACTTCGCGTACATCCGCTCGATAAAATAAAATGATGATCTTACCTAGTTTTACCGTCACCACTAATCCCAGCACCACTACTCCTAACACCACTACACTAGGAAAGACACCACTGACGACAATACGACACGTGTTTCGCCTCTACACGAGGCATCTTCAGGTAATCTAGACTCTGCGGTGGCTGACCGCTAAGAATTTCTTAGATTTTACCTTATCCTTACATAGAATTTTTTACCAACTTTAATATAATGGACTTCCGCAAAGTAACGCCTGATTCTATTAATTATCCTATTAAATATTGCAAAATAAATTACAAAATTTTAAAAACTATGCCTGTAGTTGTAATTATAAACAAACAACTACAATCTAAATGATAATAATTTTAAATAGAATGAACACTGAACAGTATATCCCGTCTGCTGCGCGCCAAGATTAATTTATGATGAAATAAACTAATCACGCTAGCGCGGTTGTCAAAAAGTGGCGCACATTTTTTGTTTGAAATAGTTGTTCTTGTATGTAAGTACAATACTTCAACGATATTTCTAAACTTCTCTTCGCAAAACTTTAACATAGATTTCGTTCATTACCATTCGGTCCAAGGTGATTCTTGACAGTCTCCAAAAGTTTCCACTGTGGAGAATCCTCATTTTCCACCTTATCTTCGTCACTTTCTGCTGCACTATCCTCAGAGTGCTGTACATATTAAATCACATATACATCATCAAATAGGTTTAACAAGAACTCAACAAAATATCTAAGTTAATAAGGAATAATGAAGATACAGTGTCCGCCATGTGGTGGCTGTGTGAGGGAATACCTTATTCTAATTTGTCCGGTGTGCTGTAAGAAGCGATCATGGGGAATGTCAGAAAGAGCGCTGTGATGGTCGGCGGTGTGTTCCCCCGTCATATAGAGTCGAGTTGGACTCAAAAAGGGAGCCTAAAAGGTCAGCTTTCTATTTTGTGGCGTGAACTATTAAGTCGTACTCCCTGTACAGTGATGGTAGTGATGGCTTACAGAAATTCCCTTGGACAGCCTTGGTGAGAGACCAGAATGCACGGGTTCCCGGAGGAAGGCGAACTAGTTTCTCGCCAATTCTGCCTATGTGCTCTGACTTTGCCTTGGCAATAACTTTTTTGAAGGACCTGGAGGCGAAGTTATACTTCTTTTTAAGCATACTGGTGTTTACATCCCGAGTCGCCAAAGCCGCAGCCCAGACTTGATAACACTCCTGCTTACTGTGTAATGCAGTCTTACAGGAGCGACAAAACCAAGGCTGAGATCTGCCTCCGATGGGTAACACAGATGATGGAATAAATAGTTCCACTCCCTGTAGTACCACATCAGTGACAGAGTCAGCAATAGTGCTGGGATCATCCGGCGAGAAGCAAACGCGCCCCCATGGTTAGGATGCAAAGAAAGACCGCATTCCGTCCCAATCCTCCGACCTGTAATGCCAAACACGGCGGCAACCTGTAGAACGCAACCGCGAGGGGAGCGTGAGTGGCACCACACTCCAGATCAGACAATGGTCCGAAGAGCCGAGAGGGGCATCGACGGAAACCTGATATCCGTCGGAATGAGAGGTCAGCAGAAGGTCCAACAGGGAAGGTGTATGATCCACCACATCTAGAATCCGCGTTGGCGAAGTAACCAGTTGTGTCAGACCATATGCCAAGGCAAAGTCATAAACAGATCTCCCCGCATGATCGGTTAAACGTGAACCGAGCCATTCGGCGTGGTGGGCGTTAAAATCGCCAAGGATCACAATCTCTGCAGATGGGACCTGTTGTACCAAGGAATCTGTAGCCATTTGGACGTGGTCGATGAGTCGATCTGTTTCGACATTACCGCTATGGGACCTATAGAGGTACCCGTAGACGCGCGGATGGTCGTCGCTGTCTACGCGTAGCCATAGGATGGACAGGTCCGAACCTTCAAGACTGCCGAGGCGTGCCGAACTGATGTCCTCTCTGACTTATACGCAAACTCCAGCCCGAGGCACAAAGGAGTGCCCCTGCTGGACACCTGCGTCTCAGTCAGAAAGAGCAAGGCCGGCTTCGCCGTCTCGAGATGGTAGTGGACAGCGTTTAGGTTCGTGTGAAGTCCCCTGATGTTGCAGAAATTCACGGATAACGGGCAGGGGTCGCCTTGGTATTGTTGCGCAGTTTATCCCGAGCAGTTATTGTTTTGAACGGAATCATGCCCCCCCCCCTCCCCCCAGAATACGCGGGGCAGTCTGAGCACCCACGCTCAGTAATGGAGTAACATCGTCTTGGATGCTCAGCGAGGGATTCTCCAGGGGTGCTGGTACCCTCCTGGGGTAGTCTTTGATGTAATTCCGCTACTATGTTGATGGGGGGGATTGGGCCTCCGGCCACCTGCACTCACGGTATGCACCGCCGGTATTCTGTGAGGTCGTGGTACCAACCCGGCTCGAGCCAGCCCATACGTGCAACAGCAAAAGCTGCCGCGTGGCTCTACCACCGTTTCCTTCATATCTCATAAAATATTGATAGAAAAAATGTATGGAACCTTTTTTGTAGAGAATTTTATGTAGATTACTTGAGTAAAATAATTTAATTTTTGCTATGAGCCACGCCGTTTACGTGTTATTTAAGAAAAACTTAAAAAAAGGACCTTTACACCATCACATCATAAACTACGAATGCTTCTTTTGTGCGGTATTCGCACCCGCAGCTCCGCAGCATCGAAACCATACTCCTAGCCAATTTTTTTGAAGTGATAAGTTTTTTAAATTCGTTGTGATTTGAAACTAACTACATGAAACGAAAAAGCGACACTAAAAAGAGACAAACATCCATCTACAGGATTTAGCCTGCGAGAGAAAGAGATAGAGTATACAGTGTTTATTAAAAATTTATGTATATTTTAATTAAGTACATAAACTCTACAATTATCCTACTCCTGATACTCTGCATTCGTCTCATTCTCTCGAAGTTAAGTTTTCTGAAGGTTTCACTTCTAAAATGTTTAACAACAAAACAGCACACAGTTGTTTTGATGATAAATTAATTCTGGTGCCCATAGACATTTACATCTAGACTTGATAAAGAATCAAAATACGGATGTGTTTTCAATCCTGAGATCTAGGTGGTATAAATGCCTATTAACCAGTAAAAACAATGTCTTAATACTTATTATTTAAAATTTTATCCTATATACCTAAAGTAAGAAACCTTACATTTGTGATACCTTATTTATGTGTTGGATGGTGTTAGGACATTGGAGTGTTTATTTGCTTGTCACTTATCAGGTATAATAAGCTAATTTAAATAGATTATCAAAAATCTATTTATAGATATAGATATACATTTAACAACAATATAAACAATAATTACTTTAACTTCAGGTTCTGGGTCGGAACCTGGTGGCTCCATGATAGCCAATGCACGGCTACTGGGCACCGGACCCACTCTGGACGAGCGTTTGCTACGGATACGTTCTGAAGTCTTCGCGGGGCCGCTGCGCCCGTGCTGCTCTATCTCTTGTCTGCGTACTTGTATCACCTGGAGAATTCAATATTTAATTATGAACATTTACAATATTAAATACAATAATTACATAAAATTCGAGTCGAATTTACCGACGTCAAGTTATTTTTATACATTTGAACACTGCTTTTCAGAACGCACTTAATAAGAACCACATGGTTTTTGTTACATGTTATATAAGTAATAACACACATTGACACAAAAATATCATACCCTTACTATCTATATTACGACTTCTATCTATATACAGGTTGTCTCAAAAGCCGACGTCAAGCTGTAATCGGGTGATAGGACAAATGATAATAGTTACCACAAAAATATAAAAAGTGTGAGTGAGACAGATAGTGACGCATTCGAGTCAGACTTTTTCTTACATTTAGGATAAATTTTCCTAAGTTTAAAATTAAACAACAGTATTTGGATGCTGGGATTTTTTTACAAAAAGTGTTCAAATTGCTTTCCTTCAGCTGCAATACAAGCTCGACATTTTCTTAAAAAAGACCGGGTTATATTAATAATAATATTAGTTTAATCAGGGTGTACATTTCCAAAAAAATACAAGACTAAGATTTTTTTTATATTTTTCTGGTAACTATTATGATTTGTCCTATCACCCGATTCCGGCTTGACGTCGACTTTTGGGACAACCTGCATACTATGTAAATGAAAGAAACTTACACACACAACAGTAAAATCATATTATATCCTTTAATATGATTTAACTGTCTTCATTTACAATTTATCATATAGACATTTTACATGTGTGTGGCTTTAGAATTATTTTTGGATTTTTATAAATAATTTCATGAGAATATGGAATTAAATTTCCAACAAAAAAAAAATACAAACAAATTATTACTTAAATACTATACCTTTTTCAAAGCCTTTGCATCTTTATATATTTGACTGCCAGGCTCATTAAAATTGCAAGCATTTCTGACCATTGTCAGCAAATCCTTCTCCAACTCCATTAAATACGAATATTCTCCAGCTTGAATCTTTTGTGCTATTGTCTTCAAATCTATCGGCGAATCGATCACGCTGAAGTATTCTGGATATCGACGCTTAGACGGTAGGAACTGAAATGCTGGGTAAAGAGGTCGGCCATCCACATTTGCAGTCATGACCTGAAAAGAAATTACGACATTTTACAATTGAATAAAAAATTAGACCCTTTATTTTTCGACTTGGCTATTAGTTTTATAACTCACAGCATTGAACAATTCCTCAAAGATATTATCATCTTCATTATTTGTTGATGTCTCGGACAAATCCTCAGCTACATCAGAACGCCTGCTGGATGATCCATTGCGTGATACCTTTGGTGTTTTTATTTCGTCCCCTGTAATTATAAACTTTATGTAATGTATTTAATATTTTTTAGATTAAACTAATACACAATATGTTAAAAACTATGTCCAATTCATAAGGATGGTGCTAGATATTGTGCTGATTCTGTACATGTAACTTTTTTCAGGGTCATAATTTAAAAAAAAAGTTAATTAAATGGGGAGGCTTTCAAAGTTACACATACTAACAAACAATACATGCGGCGCGGGAGGCTGTCAGGTAAGATGAAATAATGGTCATGACTATAACCTATGTTGACCTCAGGCTTCACTTATCAGTAAACATAAACGCAAAAATTGCATAATTGCAGTTACTAAAACACAGGCACATTAACATTTAAAATACTTTTGATTAGAGTACGACATTTCGCTGAAAACAGTCACAAGTATCATCAACACAGCTGTGAAACGATCCAGTCTTAAGCGACCTGTGTGCGAAATTGAATAAGTTCGGAAGTGTAACAAGAATATAGTTATATTAACATAGTTAAGACGTCTGAAGTCTGCCGACGGTTCTCTTGATATCGCTTACACGTGCTACAGCGGTGCTTTTGAGCACGAGCGATGTGATCGATTTAGAACCTTTGGCGATGCCGACACTACTACACATTCCAAGATACTATCATCGATGAAGGTGACGTGATTTAAAACAATTGCTGAACATTACGCAAATTATAATAGGTCGGGAAACAAGTTTCTTCGTATTTTATATACAAATTCAAGGCATTTTTTTTAAATTTAATTACATTTAATTATAATATATATGTGCCATTTTGTTTGATAACTTGTTGCCAGATGGCAGATGTGGGTAGTGACATAATTCTGTTGCTGTAGAAATCTTGGGATTTTTTATCAAAAAAATGCAACAAGTAGTTTTGATAGTCCTCTCTTGATGTTAACCTAACACTGCCTAAAGAATTCCGAAGAGACCGAAACAGGTGAAAATCTGAAGAAGCAAGGTCAGGACTCCATCTCAATTTTTACTGAGTGGCCAAAAATGTACGTGGTCTGGCATTATAATGATGAAAATTATTTTTCCTCAATTTATTGCTTGTCTCATTAGTTGTTGGTAGTAGAGATCTGAATCGTGTTAATGGGAGACTTCAATGCAAAACTAGGCACAAGAGAGAATGGTGAGCTGAAAGTAGGGAAATTTGGAATAGGGCAACGGAACCCAAGGGGCCAGCAGCTGGCCGACTTCATGGAGAAAGAGGGACTCTTTATGATGAACTCTTTCTTCCAGAAGCGGCACCACAGGACGTGGACCTGGTCGAGCCCCGACGGTTCGTCAATAAATAAGATTGACTTCATTATGACGACCAGACGACAACTGTTCAGTGACGTCTCCGTGATCGCGAGGGCGAAAACTGGTAGCGATCACCAAATGGTTAGAGGCACACTGAACCTAAACGTTAAGTTGGAGAGGTCTCGTCTAATAAAGTCAACGCTCCGACCCCCTCGTGATCTGTTCCAAAGTCGCGAAACCTTTCAGCTCGAGTTACAAAACCGTTTTTAGTGCCTAGAAGACTGCAATGAAGTGGACGATATGAATGATAAGCTCATGGAAACTGTCAAACAACTGGAAACTGTGAAACACAAAAACTCTCCGATCACACTCTTAATCTCATGGCTGTTAGACGGGAGATGAAGCTACATTCTTCAACAGATTTGACAGCATACAGGCAACTGAACAGACAGATCTCCAATTGCATGCGGCGGGACTTACGCAACTTCAATACAGCTTGTATTGAAGAAGCGATCGAGCGGAACCAAGGCTCCAAAGTCTTTGCACGAGATCTGTCTGCCAGAAAGAGCCAACTGTCAAAGCTGAAGACCGAATGTGGCAGCATCGTTTCCGGGACACCTGAGATTTTGAGTGAGAATGAGAGGTTCTATGGGCAGCTGTACACGTCATCGTCGAAGCCACACGCAAGTGTGAGTAACGATCCAAGAGCGAGTCTTATCCGACACTATTCCGAAGATATCCCGGACGTCAGTCTGAACGAGATTAGAATGGCTCTCCAGCACCTTAAAAACGGAAAGTCCCCGGGCGAGGATGAAATTACAGCGGTGCTTTTGAAAGCGGGTGGAAAACCAGTACTTGAAGTCCTTCAGAAGCTCTTTAATTTCGTTCTCCATGGTGGCATTACACCGGAGGCGTGGAGCAGAAGTGCGGTGGTCTTGTTCTTCAAGAAAGGCGACAACGCTCTCTTGAAGAACTACAGACTGATTTCCCTTCTGTGCCGTGTCTGCGTGCTGTTTTCGAGAGTCATTACAAATCGTCTCGCACGCAGACTTGACGACTTCCAGCTTCCCGAACAAGCCGGTTTCCGAAAAGGCTTTAGTACCATAGACCACATACATACCCTTCGGCAAATTGTACAGAAGTCCGAGGAGTACAATTTGCCACTATGTCTGGCGTATGTGGACTATGAGAAAGCCTTTGATTCCGTCGAAATTTGGGCGGTGCTGCAGTCCCTTCAGCGATGCCAAGTTGACTGTCGGTATATCGAAGTGCTGAAGTGTTTGTACAGTAGAGCTACGAGTACAGAATCAGAGTACGAAACCTATCCAACTGCAGAGAGGTGTAAGACAGGGTGACGTTATATCCCCGAAACTCTTCACCGCTGCATTAGAAGACGTTTTCAAGCTACTGGACTGGAAAGGATGCGGTATTAACATCAATGGCGAGTACATCACTCATCTTCGATTTGCCGACGATATAGTCCTTATGGCAGAATCGCTGGAGGACCTAAGCACTATGCTCAATGACATCAATAGTGTCTCCCAATGGATAGGTCTTAAGATGAACATGGACAAAACAAAGATCATGTTTAATGTCCATGTCACACCTATGCCGGTAGTTGTTAGAAGCACTAAGCTCGAAGTTGTTGACGAGTATGTTTACCTGGGACAAATAGTCTGACTAGGTAAGTCCAACTTCGACCGAGAGGTCAATCGACGGATTCAACTTGGCTGGGCAGCGTTCGGGAAACTACGACACATCTTCTCGTTAGACATACCTCAAAACCTGAAAACGAAATTGTACAACCAGTGCGTGTTGCCAGTGATGACTTACGGATCTGAGACGTGGTCCTTCACTGCTGGCCGTATGAGGAAGCGCAAAGTCGCTCAGCGAGCTATGGAGAGGGCTATGCTCGGGGTTTCTCTGCGTGATAAACTTAGAGATGAGGATATCCGCAGTAGAACCAGAGTAACCGACATAGCCCAACGGTTTAGTAAGCTGAAGTGGCAGTGGGCCGGCCATATAGCTCGAGGAACCGACAACCGATGGGGAAGAAAGGTTCTCGAGTGGCAGCCTCGTACCGGTAGGCGAAGTGTAGGGCGACCCCCCACTAGATGGAGTGACGACCTGGTAAGACATGCAGGTGGCTCAGGAACGTGCTTTGTGGCATTCCTTGGGGGAGGCCTTTGGTCAGCAGTGGACTTATGAAAGGCTGTAATGATGATGATGATGATCTGAATCGATGGTTTTGCTTTGCGGTAAAAGCTCATTAATAAACAATGCCCTTCCAATCCTACCATACACACAGAATCACCTTATTGCGTGTTAATCTGGGTTTCACTACAGTCTGTGGAGCTTGACTACCCTTTGACCATGATCTGTTTTGCACAATCTTGTCGTATGTGTTCAACTTTTCATTACCAGTGATCAATCTTTTCAAAAGTGGTTTGGTTTCATTACATTTCAATAGATAATTGCAAATGAGTAAATTCATTAGATTTCTTCCAGTGGGCTTGTGTGGTACCCACATATCATGCTTTTTTTGTATAGCCAGACTTTTTCAAATGAATTAAAACTGTTTTGTGGTCAATTCTCAATTCCTCAGCGATGTCATAACTAGTAATATACCGATCTCGCTCCACTTTTACAAAATTGGCGTTGACTTTATTCGTATGAGGGCTACCAGAGAAGGCTGCATCTTTGACATCAAAATTCGCGGACCGAAAACGTATAGACCAACTTCCATATACGTCACAAATTTTTTTCACAGCTTGAGTCACATTTTTCCGTTTTTTGTAATAAAATCGAATCGAAAAAATGGCGGGAAAGTGGTTTTTACTTTTTTTTTCTTTTTCTTAATATGCTATATGTATTGGTATAAAAACCAGCCAGATACAAACAGTACAAGTAAATAGAACTTTTCGAAGAAACTTTTTCTATGAACTTGTAGTAATAAACATGCATTTTAAATAACAATAATATTCTACATTCATTAATAATATAAGCTTTTTTTTGGTGATTTCATTGCAGTATTGATGGATGTACACCTTTTGGATTGGATAGTGTTTTTACATATTGTATAAGTATCTTCACTTCTCTTCCTTATAAGGCCATGGACAGGATGGGCTCCCTTAGTAGGGAATGGTAATTGGATACTACTGAATGTATTCATAATGGTTAACAGATTAAGACTATTAGTAGTTAGTACCAGGTACTATAGTTTGTTCAAACTTCATACATAATTGAAATTGGATCTTGAAACCTAGAGAATATAGAATCTATTGTAAGTTTAGATTTATGAATCAATTTCACTACAAGCTGTCGTAAACAAATGATATCTCAGGAATACTAATATAAAGAAAAAGTAGATACACAATTTGGTTTAATAAAATAATTTGATTACCATTTTCAAGTGCTTGTCTATTTGTTGTATACAATTTCCACAATTCAATGGCATCCTTATATTCAACAGAATCGGGCTTGTAAAAAGCTTTTGCATTGTTAACAAGTAATTCAATATCTGCTGACAACTCCTCTATATCCTCATAAGTATCTGTTTTCAATTTTTGCTGCACCTGTAAGTGTTATTGATTGGTTACAAATTTTATGGCTCAATGGTGATCATCACTGTCACATTTCCAGTAGTTTTTATTTACTAATTATAAGCAAGTGCTTAACTACAATTCAACCTGGTTGTAAGTGGTGATGAAAATCACACTGTTTCTATATAACAAAATACTATTCACTCTTGCCTTGAAGACACCATGATTGTAATTGGACAGAAAGAGACGCCGGCAGTTTATGCGCTAGATTTATAATCTCAAAATATGTAAAAATATCTGATACTCAGACCTAGGCCTAAAAGTTGGACGACGGTAAAATATTTATCATTTAACAAGATAAGAGTAATAACATAAACTTAATGCTACAAATCAATCAGTCTCACATTTTTTTCACATTCATTTGTACGTGGTAGAGCCATGCTGCAGCTATATTAGTAGTATAGTTGTAGCACGAATGGCTCGGGTCGACTGGGGAAGGACCACACTCTCACAGAGTACCAGCATAAAATGGCAGCTTGACACTGCTGTGTTTCGTATTGTGAGTGTAGAGAACCGGAGACCCATTTTACTGATAACGACGCTTCTGCATTTTGATTTTTTATTGAGGATAAATGTAGATATCTATGGGTCACAGCAACCACTTACCACCAGATGGACTGTGTGCTTGTTTGTTACCCTTATTATATGAAAAAAAATCTTCTTTTTAAAGACTATAGCCAGTATTTGTGAAGTGGATCCTATTTTCAGCAAATTAACAAAAATAGACTTCAGCATGAAGCATTTATTTATTTATTCTTTATTGCATTCCTTAATCTAAAAGAATACAAAGGGCGGACTTAATGCCTTGTGGCATTCTCTACCAGTCAACCCATGGAGTGGTGAGAATTTGAAGTATGTGTAGCAACATAGAATAAAAACAAAATAGAAATGATAATTAATTAAGTTATATATACATTTTACTAATATATACAATAAATAAACTATAAAAATATATCCTATTTATACATCATGTATACAAATATATACGTACATACATAAGCATACATATATTCATACCAACATACATATACAAATAGTACATATAAATAACTATAAATATATACGTCTAAAATATAAATGACATGGATGATTCATGTAAGAAGCGTTGTCTTTAACAGATGATTACACACCAACTTTTTAAAAGCAAATTTATTGGGAGCATTTCTGATGTTGTCAGGCAAGGAGTTCCAAAGGTGTGCAACCTGAACTGTAAACGAGTTACCATAGAACTCGGTGAAGTGAACTGGAATACATAGTTTGTTGTTAGAAGAAGAACATAGAACCCTATCATGAGATGAGAAGAGATAGTGAAATTTACTCTTAAGATAAGAAGGCGAAAATGGGTCATTTAATATGGAGAAAAAGAACAAGTAATATTCTGGAAATACGCCTCTGCCAGATTGTAAGCCAATTAAGCTTAGATCTATATTGTGAAAAATGGTCATACTTACGAAGCTCGAAAATAAATCTTATACAGTTATTGAGAAGGCGTTCCAGCTTGTTCAGAAAAAGGTAAGAATATTAAGGCAGTAAAAGAGACCAATATTCATAATTATGTATAACCATGAAGTAGCAGTGTAATAATATTCACTATTTCATATCGTCCTCTAGGTGTCATATGAGATGACAGATGGAAACAAAACAGGAGATGGTCAGCAGTGTCTCCCTTATAAAATCTCAAGGACTAAAAAAACTAGTTGCCAACTATGGCAAAAAATTCCCCTATGAGGCCACCCTTCAGGGTGAACTATGTTCAGAAATGACTTTTGATAGGCTGTAACGGTAAAAGAGAACATCAAATTATTTCATCCCATGAAAGTAGTGACTGAAACTATACTTACCCTTAATAAGTCAATGGGTTGTGAAACAACTTCATAGTACTGTGGCTCTTGTCGTCTCTTAGGAGCTCGAATAAAAGAGTCGCAAAGCAAAGATCCATCCTCTTTTTTGTATGAACGAATAGTATCATACAACTGTTGGCATATTTCACTCTGAAACATGAAATATTTTTAACATGCTTCTTCAAAATCTAGTCTTTATGATACAAAATCAATAATCCAATTTGAAGGTCCAAAATTTTATAAGAGATAGATCATATTGTTTTAAATTGAATCCTAAAATATTATATTTCAGAAACATGCATCGAGATATTTATTTATGAAATTAATTTTTGTTTATGTGTAATTTATGGTTTCTTAGAATTGAGACACACTTATAGCAGTATAATGTTAACTTTTATGAAATACAAATAATCTATAAATGTTTTTTTGTAATTATGTTAGACTAGCTGTTCCATGCGACTTCGCCTGCATGTTATTAGGGGTTTCAATTTATTTGCGTGGAACCCTAATTCTTTTTCTAAAATAAAAGTAGCCTAAGTTACTCCTTGTGACATCAGCTATCTGCCAGTGAAAATCCCATCAAAATCGGTCCAGCCGTTTCGGAGATTAGCCGGAACAAATAGACAGACAGACAGACAAAAACTTTAAAAATTGTATTTTTGTTATTAGTACTGTATATACTTTTATATGCATTTAGTAAAAAGCTGTAATTTTGAGATTACAAACAGACACTTCAATTTTATTTATTTGTATATAAAAGATACACGCCAGCAAAACAAGCTCATTTAATTAAATCTACCTTACACAAATATTACAATTTTACCCTCAACATTATCAATACATAACAGTATAGATTATATATAATTCAATTATCAAATAAACTATTGTTCTTTCTGACAACAAATATTTCCCAGTCAAAAAAATGGATAGTGTTTTTTCAAAAGTAGGAGGAAGTTGCAGATTTCAGTCCAATTTTAAGAATGCAAGTTTTCATAAGATCTCCACAGTTTGTTTGTGTGTGTGTGTGTGTGTGTATATGCATTGCGCTCAAAAATAAACAGGAAGTTCCAGGGATGGTCTGCAGTCAACCATTTTTCAGATTTTTTTTTGTCTGTGGAATATTTGGTGGCCTTTTGATCAATTGATCAATCAATACAACAAGTCAAATTATTTAAATGGATTAGACTGTGAATTACAATTTAATTCATTTAAATTGACACCATGTGAATTTGACTATTATGTCGTCGGGGCTGCTCTATATCACAAGTCCAAGGTAAAATTACAAATACATGCCACGACAGTGGCCAGCAAAGCCCTAAAAGAAGAGGTCTATCACTAGTTTATGTTAACTCTTTCTTCCCTCTCTTACAATTAGGATGCTAAGAAATGCTTTAAAATCCCACTTCACAAAGGGGGTCCACTTTACTTCCGGAAATATATTTTTCCAAGAAAACAAAAAAGAAAAATAAGAGCCTTTAATGACATATATTTAGGAATATGTAAGTATAGCCCATTAAGTTATATGTACTACGTACTAGAGAAGCCATACCAAACAAAAATTGTGTCCTACTCTATGTCTTCGCGCTAGCACGGGAGATAGTAGTCGCCGTTGAGCGAAGACTTTAATTTGATATAAAATAAGATATTAATATAAAATAAAGATAAGAATTTAATATAAAATAAATATAAGAATTTAATATAAAATATCGTAATTTAATCAAAACAAACATATATCTATTATTTTATGGAATTCACAAATCTTCAATTTACGCAATATTTAGCTTGTATGGATTGCACTACAGTTCAGTTGAACATAGTCAATGTTCGGAATGGCTTCTCTAGTACGTAGTACCTACATATAAAACAATGGTATAGCCCGTGTAGCAGTATAGCCCGCCTTTTAGTTTATGTGGCTGATAAACTTACCGGCTCCAACTTTTTCTTCTTACGTGAAGGTGGAGGTCCAGGGTTGCTTAACTCTATGCCGTCATCACTATCATCACCATCAGCACCACGACTTGCTACGGACGAAGCTCGGCGTCTTCTGCTCATTTTTTTTGAAGCTTTAAAAGAATCTTGCTAATGCCGCTATATTGCCAAGTTTTGTAAATGCCGAGGTTATCACAAAACACTTGTTCTAGCAGCTAAAATTCTTAATGAACTCTTAAAAATAAAAAAATTAAATATTTTGAACGACAAACAACAAAACACCTTTTATTTTACCTATCTATTGACAACAAGCGACCATAGATAAATATATATGTAGCAAGCAAGCGACAAGCAGTGAAGCCACATATTAGTCTGTGAGTGAAGCATTCTATAATCCAATATTATCTATAGAAATTGGAAATGCTTTTCTTTTGTAAAGGCAAAGGGATCTGTGGCAGTACAACCTAGTCTGACGTGAATTCTGTACAAAAAATTCTTCACAATATGATACATCAAATTGTTAGGTTTTTGGAAGATTTTGTCGACTGCTTAATCTCGCTCTTTGACCATTTAACTCAATGGACTCGCCTCGCATGATTATTCCACTCTGCTAAGGTGGATGGATTTAAAATCTTGTGCGTTTATAAAAACTGTTTATGGAATCGATTTTATCATTACAAAAATGTGATAGTGATGATCACCATTGAGTCATAAAATTTGTAACCAATCAATAACACTTACAAATGCAACAAAAATTGAATTACTTGTTAACAATGCAAAAGCTTTTTACAAGCCCGATTCTGTTGAATATAAGCATGCCATTGAATTGTGGAAATTGTATACAAGAAATAGAAAAGTTCTTGAAAATGGTAATCAAATTATTTTATTAAACCGATTTATGTATCTAATTATTCGTTTTGCCATTCCGAAAATTAGCTCGAACAGACAGAAAAATCCCGAGCTTATTAGAAGCCGGTTAGTTTGATATTACAGAGAGAAAATTTAATTTTATTTAAATGGATAACGTACTGAGTAGTTGCTTAGTAAACACGTATCTATTTAGCTTCGCCTATAAGTCGTTAATACAAGTGCAAAATCGTCAATATTTGATGTGTGGCAGACACCGTTTTGTGAGTGAACTTATAACCTATTTTATTGTGAAAAATCTTGCATAACAGTTCTAGTATCGTGAAGTAATCTTGTTAAAACTATCTCAACATTACAAAATCTGCGGGTAATTATAAAGTGTCGGTGATTTTTGTACACAAGTAAACAATTTATGTAAACAACAACAACGAGTATGCGTCTTCTCGGGTTATTATTTTTTTTTAACTGACTAATAAAAAAAAAATTTCAATTCTTTTAATTGACCTTGTTGGTGGTATCGGACATTATATAAAATTTATTATTGGAAAAGTAAAATTATAGTATAAGTACGATTAACGCCTACCAATTTGCATTCAGCAACTTTGCAGTAAAGTGTATTTTGTTGCAAACCTCAGTGATAAACAATAGTATAATGTCTACCGACAACAATGATTGGGGATGCTGTGGTGATAACCCTGACACAGAAGAGTACATTAAGTGCCAGAAATGCTCAAAAAAGTTTCATGTGGCCTGTCTCAGCTCTCCCTCCGTAATAAAACCAAGTGAACTTTCGACATGGGAATGTCCTCTATGTACCAGCCTACGACCCAAAACTGGGCATAACGACAACACGCCGGTGCGATTTAACCCTAATGTCACGGTACGGGCTTCTAAAAGACAGGCACTGCAGTCACCTCCAATAATAGGAGCGTCGGCTGATGAAGTTAGAGGTATCATGCAGGAGTATTGTAAGAGCATTACATCTAAAATCGATTCCCTAACTATTTCCATTAGTTCTGAAATAAAATCAGTTAAGGAGGAGATGCTGGAAATTAGGAGCTCTATGGATTTCATGAATTCCAAATATGAATTGTTGATCAAAGACCACAAAGAAACTAAACATGCGATGGTTGATTTCCAAAAAGAAAACAGTGCTCTAAAGACCAATGTTAAGGACCTCACGGCGCGAATTAATACCCTTGAACAGAACGCACGAGCTATGAATGTAGAAATACAGTGCATTCCTGAGAAAAAAAATGAAAACTTAATGCAAGTAATGACCCAACTGGGTACTGTACTTAAGTGTAATGTTAAAAACGAAGATGTTATCAACTGTACACGTATCGCCAAGATCAACCCTAATAGTACGCGACCGAAATCAATTGTAGCCCAATTCGCCAATAAAAAGATTCGTGATGAGTTTTTAGCAGCATCCATAAATTTCAACCGAAAAAAGGCAATGCAGGATAAGCTTAATAGCTCGCATCTGGGATTCAACGGTGAAAAATCTCCAATATTTATTGTGGATCACTTGTCCCCCATGAATAAATCGCTTCATGCCGCAGCTAGAAAGATTGGTAAAGAAAAAGGATACTAACATGTGTGGGTTAGGAACGGGCGTATTTTTATGAGAAAAACTGATAATTCCGACTATATGCTTATCAGAGATATGGACTCGTTAAATTGTATTAAGTAGTTGTAATGATAACGATTATGTTAATTTAATACAAGTAATTGGATAAAAATCTATAAAATTCACTTCTATATCTATATATTATCAAAATGTTCGAGGGTTGCGCACTAAAACCCACATATTTTTACAAAATCTGCTTATTTCAAATTATGATGTTATTGTTCTAACAGAGACCTGGCTGAATAGTAAAATACTTGACTCTGAACTTTTTGGTGAGGGATATGCCGTATACAGAAGGGACAGAGAAATGTCCGGCTTTAACGTGAAAAAAGAGGGGGGTGGGGCACTAATTGCAATTTCTAAACGTTTAAATTCGAAGCGCATGCTGAACTGGGAAAGCGAATGTGAGGATGTTTGGGTTGTAATTCATGGTTCTCAGTCACTAGCTCTGTGTGCGGTATATCTGCCACCCCCGGTTCAAACATCAATGCTAAAACATTTTATCGATAACTTTAACCATGTTTCCGAACTATTTAATTCACATGTCTGTGTACTTGGCGACTTTAATTTGCCGACCTTAGACTGGAATTTGGTCGGGAGTCCATCTTATAACTTATCATCACTGCACCAGTATTTCATTGATTTCGTCAATGTAAATAATTTAACACAACATAGCTCTATAACAAACAATATGGATAGATCTCTCGATTTGGTCTTGGCCAATACATCATCCTGCGTGGTTGCTGAGGCCGTAGACATTTTGTGTCCTATTGACCCACTACATCCACCTCTCTCTATAGAACTCTCTCTATTAGAGAGGCCAAAATTACAGTCCAATGCTGTGAGTAGGTTTAACTTTCATAAAGCAGATTACGTTGCTATTAATGACTATTTAGCTGAAGTTGATTGGAAGTCTCTTTTTTATGGGAACAGTGATGTAAATATGAAACTTGAATTATTCTTGGAGGTTGTTAACAAAGTCATTCATAAGTTTGTACCAATTGTCAAACCAACAACTAACAAATATCCTCCCTGGTTCAGTAAGGACTTGATTAGTCGCTTACGAGAGAAAAATAGGGTTAGAATAAGGTACAAAAAATACAGGCACCCCCTGGACAGGATATCATATCGTCTACTGACCGACCGCTGCAAAAAATTAGCTTCTGAATGCTACAACGCATATATTCGTAAAATTGAGGACGGAATTTTAACGAACCCGAAACTGTTCTGGTCTTATATTAAATCCAAACGTGGTGGCTCTGAAACATATCCAGCTACGATGACGGACGGTAATACAGTAATACAAAACGGTAATGACATATGCAACAGCTTTGCATCTTACTTCTTCTCTACTACCTCAAATCTTGGTGTCCCATGTGACATAAATACTGACGAGAACATTTTTAGTACATCAGTGGGGGGAGCAATCGATTGTTTTTCAACTCTAAATCTTTCCCGCAAGCAAATTTACAAAAAATTAGTCAATATTGATGTAACGAAGGGCACTGGGAGTGATAATATTTCACCATTGTTTATTTCACGATGTGCGTCATGCCTGGTGGAGCCTTTATTTATTATCTTTAATAACTCATTAAGTTCTGGGGTTTTTCCCAAAGCTTGGAAGGTTTCTAAAGTGGTGCCAATTTATAAGGCAGGTGATGCTCAGATCATTAGTAACTACAGGCCTATTTCCATATTGTCCTCATTAGCTAAAGTATTCGAGTCTCTAGTCTGCCCTATTCTTCAAGCGTACTTCGACAAGTATTTAAACGACAACCAGCACGGCTTCACAGAAGGTAGGTCTACTAATACTAATTTAGTTACATATGTGGAAGACATTGTAAGTCGCATTGATGGCAATAAACAAGTAGACGCAATATATACAGACTTCAGCAAAGCCTTTGATAGAGTAATCCATCGACGGCTTCTGGCAAAACTATCTGCATACGGAATAGGGGGTTCTGTTCTAGCTTGGTTCGAATCGTATCTAAGTGAACGCTCTTTCTATGTAGTCGTTAATGGTTTTAGCTCAGAGCTACGAGATATCACTTCTGGTGTTCCGCAAGGTTCACACCTAGGCCCTATTCTCTTCAATATCTTCGTAAACGATATACCTAATTATATACAATACTCATCCCCTTCGATGTTCGCAGATGACCTAAAAATTTGGAAAATCATTGAAACACAAGATGATGTTTTGCATTTACAAAAAGATCTTGACGCGCTAGTGAAATGGTGTCAGACGAATGGAATGGAGCTCAATATCAATAAATGTGTTCACATTAAATTCACTAGGAAATTGAATCCTATTCCATCCATCTACAGCATCAATGGGATTCGATTAGGAGAAAGGGCAGTAGTAAGGGATCTGGGGGTGCTTATGGATAATAAAATGACATTTGTCCCACATATTGACTACATCATAGGCAGGGCGTCCAAGATGTTGGGTTTTATTATCAGGAACGCTAGGGTATTCAAACGCCATTCCTCAAAAATTGCGCTATACAATAGCTTGGTTAGATCGATCCTTGAGTATGGAAGTGTAGTCTGGCGTCCACATTATGCTACTCACACACTTCGTATTGAACGCATTCAAAAACGATTAATAAAACACTTGGTGTTCTCACACTTCTGGCATAAAAGATTTAGCCCCTACAAGGACCTACTAGACTTTCTAAAGATGCAGAGCTTGGACAACCGCAGGGATATACTTGACCTATCCTTCTTTTTCAAGATAATAAGATATCAGTTGCATTGTCCTGCACTCCTGATGAAATTTAACTTTAAAGTTCCATCACGAATGCCTCGTAAGCCCATCGAACCTCTCTCTCGTCCATTTCGCAAAACAGTTTTGGGAGCCAATTCACCGGTTTCCAGAATTTCCCAACTATATAATAAGTGCGGTGAGTCAATAGATGTTAATGTTATGTCTCTGGCTAAGTTTAAGGCCACAGTAAACCATACACTATTTAAGTAACTAGGTGTAAGTCATTGTTTCATATACCTACATAATATTATTTTGTTCTATTCTAGGTTTTTGTATTTAAAAAAATGCAAAAACTTATAATGGAGCGGAGCGGGATGATGTTATGTAGGTGTATACATATGCATAATATTATTTTGTTCTGTTCTAAGTTTTTGTATTTTTTTTTTGTTGTTTTTCACTAGGTAACTTTTTAGTAACTTGAAGCATGTGGTGTAAACCTTTAATTGATTGTACAATTAGTATATAAGTGGATGTGTATTTACTATTTCTGCATTGTTGTAACAATCGTTGGTGTACTTAAATAAATAAATAAATAAATGTGTAGGAGAGATATATTTTTATCTTTTCTATTTTAATTATAATTGATAAAACAATGATTTTCCGCAAGATTACTATAATCAAACGACCAAAGCCTTAGCCATAAAATATTTGTAACTGTGCAAACAAAAGATTTTATTATTTTATATAATTTATATCTGCTCAGTTGTGGGGTTGTGTGGGTTAGAAAACTAAATGAAAAAAAATATATAATAAAAATCACATTACGGGGATTCGAACTCGCGTATTCCAGCGTATTAAGCGTAGGACTAAAGCATAGGCTATAACGAACAGGCTATTGAGTAGAGAGCACAAATGTATCTAATGGAAACTAGTAAGTAAGTACTTGTTATTAGTTTGTGAGACGTACAACGTACGGACCTAGTAGATATAAGTATAATATCTCTATCAGATTTATGGTATCATCCCTTTTCTCAAGTAGGTAGTGATTGTTTTCTTCGAAATTATTATACACATACCTTCATATTGTTTAATTAGTAATCACAAATTAACGAGAAGAAATATAGTTTTAAGAGTTCTTTGCAATTGTGTATTTAATAGTCTTAACATATTTTTTTTAAATTATACTTATTTACTGAATTGCATAGGTATCGTACCTTTTTTACAGTATGAACAGATATTACAAAAATGTAATTTTATGTGGCGAGATAGACTTCTATTGCCTTCTTTGCGAGGAATCTTTCGAACTTGCAGAACAAGTAGAAAGGCATATCCGATGGGAACAACACAGGAAAAACATAAAAAATCTATCTTACATCCCAAAATACAAAAAAGACTGTATATTTATGGTAAGTTATGGGGTAAGTAAAGGATATGATATTTTAATCAGTCATACTTAGTATATTTTCTTACGCCGCCACCACACAGCGCCTACCATTTCGTCAACACGCCATTTTATGTCGTGGTTGTCGTGAGAGGCGACTAGAAAATGCCAGAAAGATCTTATGGCGTCAGATTACTAGATGGAAAGCATTCTTTCTGCGTAGAAAATGTTATTTTGCTGAATTAATACGTTTTTTAAGTTTAAATTTTACAATAATCCACATTTATTTTATTTTATTATTGACACGGCCTCTCGTGCCTGATCAGAATTATTTTAATTGGCATTTAACCAAATGATACTGAACAATTATAGGTATAAACCATGACACTGAATTATAGAAGGTGTCCCCTTTTACAAAAATAAGTCAGTTGATTTGAAAACGGCGCTCGGTCGCTGTTGCATCACGCTCGATAACGCATGTTTCTCTTTTAAGAATATCAAGGCACTAGGAAACCTAACTCCTCGCTTTGCATCACTCTTGAATGGTAATTGGGCAGTAAAAATTAAAAGGACAAAGGACCTGTGTTTGTGATTAGCGTAATCTACTCTCTGTCTGATATTAACTTTACATGTATTAATTATGGCAACCCCCCCCCCCCCTTCCCATGCGCGTTAGGCATGCCAAACAGTGGAAGTCAACGAGCGGGTAGAGAAAATAAGTAACGAATTATTTTAACCCGTAGGTATATTTTTTGCAGATTGGAAAGTACTACTATTGTGAGATTTGCAACTATGTTACGACATCAGTTAAACAAGTTAAAAATCATATAAATGACTCTACACATTTGTTTCGTACGAAAAACCCTATCATAACCCAAAAAGCTAGTGACGTGACACGTAATAAAAACGGCCTGATAAAATATCATAATATGATTATGAGCAAATTTGAATGGCATGGCATTGTTAATAACCATTGCTTTCTTTGTAACACATCTGTGGAAAATGTCGAACATGTTAAGCAACGTGACCATATGATTGCTTTGGTCCAATCTGAAATGAGAAAGGTTAAGGAAAACGAATACAATAGAAAGGTAAAAGCTTTTTAAACTGTTTAAGGAATGTAGTATGTACTTTGGTTAGGTATTATTGGACATGGCAGAGCCCTGCTGCAGCTATATTATGGTTGTAGCACGAATAGGTCGGCTCGACCGGGCAAGGATCACGCTCTCACAGAATACCAGCGTAAAATTTCGTATGGTGAGTGTAGAGACCGGAGACCATTTTTACTGGAAACGTGGCTTTCCATATTAGTCCTCAGGGGTGGCAACGCATCTGCATTTTGATTCTTAAGCTATGATGGATGTAGATGTCCATTTGCCACAGCAACCACTTAGCATCAGGTGGACTCTGCACGTGTGTTACCCTTATTCTATATATGAAAAATTATAATGAATACGCTATTAAACCGTAAATCTAAGTTTGAGATTTTGTCGGCCACAACTACTTTTTTCAAGTTAATTAATAATTGCTTTCCTTGCCTCTTACAAACATGGTAGAAACTTCAAAATACCACAAGTGTGTAACGCAGAAATTCATAGGCACTTGCTCGATTAGAAATAAAAATAGAAAAACATATTTCAAAAATTAAAGATACATCCATTGCCCTGTATCTACATTTTTGAAATTTGTTTATTTGTTAAGAGATATTCTTATCTATTTCCAATAAATGAACGTGTTTCCAAAAGGATCCAAGGCAGAAACCCAAACCAATTAGTGGTACCATACCAAAGACTTCATTTGTATAGTCGTAACGCCCATTGCATGGCAATAACTATCTTTAATAAGCTGCGACCACAGATCAGACAGCTACCTATAAATAAATTAAAATATTTTCTTGGCTCTTGGATATGTGTTTCTACTCTGTTAACGATTTCATAGATTATAAATTTATTAACTAAGTAAGGTAATGTCACCAGTAATGGACTATACCCCAGTAATGGACACACGCTTAGAAAAATGAAAAAAATAAGAATAATTTAACATATTTTCATAATGGTAACATTGAACTATAAACTAATTATGTCAAGCTGTCAACTGTCGCGATTTCGATTTATTCTGACATTTCGTTGCAAAATTGTCACAGATTAAATAGCACTGTGCAGAGTGATTTCCCAATTTGATTATTTCTAACGGAATTCATTAGTGAGGTGAGTAGATATTTTGAGATATTTCTGGAAAATCTTTAGAATAATTCATTACTATATTGGATAGTTTATTTCATAGAAATATTGTAGGTACGAAATTAACCTAAAACTATTTAAAGGTGCTTGTATATTTTGTTAAATGTGAATGTTCATAACTGGATATCGATTTTCAACTAGAACTAGTTATGGACAAAATGTCCATGATTGAGTATCTATGTTTTTATAGCAATTGCCTTCGTTTTATGTTTGTTGTACCGTCTTTTGGGTACATTCTATTTATGGTACTGTTACGTGGACCCAATCCAGTCATGGACATGGATGTCCAACATTGGTTGTTCATTAATGGATTTCAAATAAAATTCTAATTTTGTTGTTTTCGTTACTAGCCATGCTGCCCACAAAACATTATACGCCAGAACAAATGCGTCGTGCCATAGAGGCGGTCAAGAGAGAAGAAGCAGTGAGTGCAGCAGCATCTAAATATGGTGTACCTCGTATCACGCTTAGAAATAAGGTAACGGGGATAAGCCCTGCCGTTTGTTCAATGGGCCCAGCAACGATTCTTACGGTTCAAGAAGAGCAGATATTAGTACAATGGATTTTTGTACTAGCAGATCGACATTTTCCTATTTCACGAGAACAGTTATTGGACAGTGTCCAACAAATAATAATTAAGAACAAAAGGAAAACACCTTTTACTAACAATCGCCCTGGAAAGACGTGGTACCAAGCATTTCTTAAAAGACATCCTGAGATTTCGGAACGAAGTGCACAAAATCTAATAACATCACGAGATAATGTCACTGAACAACAAATCAAATCTTGGTTTACTGAGATCAAAAATTACCTTCAGGAGCAAAACCTTGAGCATTTGCTGAAACAACCTAGCAGGATATTTAATGCAGATGAAAGTGCATTTCTTTTCACCGAAATCTGGTCGTGTCTTAGTAAGACGGGATGGTTAGACTGTGTATACCGCATCTGGTAATGAGAAAGAAAACTTGACTGTTTTACTAACTGCAAATGCTTCTAGTCAAATATAAAATTTTTGAATTTTTTTATAAAATTTGTTGGTTAAAGATTATGATAGTGTTTGTTTATGAGCGTGTGCCAAAACCTATATCTGATAGCGTACCTGCTATGTGGTGGATCGGGAGATCAGAATCAGGGTGGATGTGTAGAGAGACTTTTTATGAATATTTTACAAATATATTCCACCCATGGTTGATCGAGAAAAAAATCCAATTAGTCTTGTTCTTTTTGGATGGCCACGGATCACATTTGACGATACATCTCTCAGACTTCTGTGCAAAAAATGGAATAGAATTAATTGCTTTATATCCCAATAGTACGCATATACTGCAGCCAATGGATGTTGCTGTCTTCCGACCATTAAAAGTATTTTGGAAGAGGCAGGTCATTAAGTGGAAGACTGAAAATCTGGGTCAACAGGTTTCAAAAACTTCTTTTGCACCCATACTGAAAAGCGCTTTAGATGAAATTACTAAAGATTGTATTAGTAATGGTTTTCGAGCTGGCGGCATATGTCCATTTGGACCGGAATATGTTGATTTTAGTAAGCTCAACTCAAAAAATTAATCAGCAGAAATCATGGAAGCTCAAGCTGCTTCGTCGCAAAATGTGGAGTTTCTACGGATGCTGAAGGCTGAAATCGTAAAACTATTTTCTGACGAAAAATTAAATACCTTCAAAAAATATTTCTTTCTGCGGAGAACCGATTTAGAAAATGAATTACCTGCTGAGGACATAGGACTCTATATGTTATGGGCTAAGTATAAGCACTTATGCCATATTGAGATTCCACCACAGTCCACATCTGCAAAAATACATCTATAATCCGCAGACACAACAGCCACTCAAACCACGTATTATGGTAACAATCCTGAATCGGAAGTTCTTTTAAATTAGTTTTCGCAATACTGTGGGACAGTTAAAGTGCTAGCTGTTGAAATACCGATAACTGCAATTGTCAGTCTCTTACAATGTATACTGTTCACTGAATCACACAATGTCCAACACTCTACGATCGATGTCGACTTGAAATTGCCTATAAATAGTGGGGAATTCATTGAGCTTCCGCTACAGACCCGATCAGAACAAATAGATCAAGAATTCGCAGAAACAACAACTACTCAGACCACCTTTTCTGCTACTAGCCCAGAATCGGAAATTCTATTAAATGAGATGCCGCCATTCTCTGGAGCACTTGAAGAGCTTTCTGTGGAAATGCCGATCGATGACAATTCTCCTATCACGATCTTTACTGTTAAATTACAAAATGCTACACACTCTACGACAAACGTCGACTCGGAATTGCATATAAATAGTGACCAATTCAATAAAACAATACCAGCTACATCTAAGGCAGAGTCAGAAAAAGATTATGATATTATTATGGAATCAGAACAACCTGAGTTGACCACAAATGTTGACTCGAATAAGGACTCTATACTAGGTGATTTATTAGTTGTTGAGCCCCCTTGTCCCCATCCTAGACCTATCATTCACTGTTCCGAACCAGAAATCCAACATTGTACACCCACAAAAAGTACATTAAGCGGTGTATTGGGTGTTGTAGTACCTTCCCCTTTTAAAAAAAAGTCTTTTTTGGCCCGTAATTGAAAACAAGAAAAAGAAAGAAAAGTTACCATCGGTGATTACAAGTAAGGCGTGGAAGGTGTACCATGAAAAGAAAGACGTAGACTACAAGATGAAAAAGAAAGCAGAGCCAAGGTGAGAGCAGAAAAAAAGTTTCAAAAGAAAAAATCTTGGAAGAAAATAAAAATAAGAATAGGAAAAATGAAAAAGGTACAGAAGTCTTCATCTTCAGACGACACCGACTTAGAAATTGATTACGCTGAAAGTGGTGACAACGATTGGAATGAAGATAGTGATTCAATTGTAGAGAATACGGAAGGCGAAAATAAAGTGGTGACTGGAAAACGAAGACTGCAACTTGCTTTTCATAAAAGGTCACAAAAAAAGAGTGAAAGACCTCTTTCGTACTCTGGATCGGATCTTGAAAATATGCCTTTAAGTCCACTAGCATCTTCTAGCAGTAAAGTTTCTGTTAAAGATTTAAAAACAGGTTGTTATGTAATAGTTACATATGAAAGTGAATATTTTCCGCGTAAAATTGAAGACAAGAATACAGGGATGTACGAAATTAGTACAATGGTACTATCAACTGGGAACACTTTCAGATAGCCGGACAAAGCGGATAAAGTCTGGTATAAAATGACATTATTGAAATAATTAGATCTCCTATAAAACAAAATAATAGAGGATTCTTTAAAGTTACTGTTAAAATTTTTACCTGATATATTCATGACAAAGATTTAAGATATACACGAGAGACATAAAGGTTTAATGATTATTAGGAGGTGCGTCTACCATTTATTATATGTCGCTTATTATGTGTAATTTAACTAACTTAAGTAAGCTATCTGTATATGTAATTTTATTGTTTTCGCCTTTTAAAGTTTTATATCTATGATTACTAAAATTATTGTTGTTGTTTGTTTAAACCACCACTGACTGATTTCGATGGTATGAAGACATATTGTAAGAGCACTTACTAATGTTTAGTAATACTAATTTGTGCATTTTATTTCTGCTTGTACCAATATCTTATCTCAAAGTTTAATACTTACTAGTCTTATCATTTGTATTGAACAAGTCAAAGTAAGTAAGGCAAACATAGCCTAGTGATTTAAAGAAACAGCTTACCTTTATTATTGTTATTATTTGTTGTCTCTGTGTTCATTACTAGAAGTCCATTACTGGAGATTGTCCATTAATGGGTGTCCATAATTAAATTTTGCCTGTCCATCACTAGCGATTAGGAATGACTTTGATTTAACTTTTTTTTAAAACATATA